TATGTATATATATATATATATATATATATATATATATATATATATATATATATATAACATTAGTAGATTTGCTCATATGTTTTATATAGGTTTTTTACAACTGCAATAAGATACGCAGTTGCATAGGTGATTAATGATTTATTTGTGTTATGTTGTTTTTTTACAGTTTATCCAGGTTATCCTTCTTATCCCGGTTATCCAGGATATCCGGAAGGTCCAAATGGTCCAGAAGGACCTGACGGCTCAATTGGCGGTGTAGGAGGTATCGGTAGTGTAGGTGGTGAAGGAGGAGATGGACCTAATGGACCTGATGGTCCATGGCCAACTGGGTCACCTGGTCCTGATGGACCCTGGCCTGGTGATCCAGGATATATACCTAGAGTAAAAGCAACAAGTAGACCTTCATACACAGGACCAATAAGAAATCAATATCCTAAAATTTATCCACTTGATACTGACAATTATAATCCTGTTACGAAATATTATTCCAGAAATAAGATTGATTCTTCATACACAGGCAATGCTGTAAAAGATAATGAATTGACAAAGTTATCTCATTTGACAAACGTTAATTCGCCATTATATACAAGCCATGAAGAGTACAAACCACAATATGAAACCAAATTCATACCATCAATCTATGAAAAAGAAGAGACCATTCACAATGCAGATGAGATCAACTCACTTTTGCAAACTAGCCCGACATCGCCATCATTGCAATACAACGGCGAAGACTATCAAAACATAGATTCACTCAAGTTGACTTCACAACCTTATGATTATACTACCCAATTTGGGTTGAGAAAAGTAAAGAAACCATTAAAGAATGATTTCAACCAATTTTCTGTGCACGATCAAGATCAATATCAGAAGTCAGTATTCTCTTCGCCTCATAACTTGCAACAGATATCTTCCAAAGGTCGATCAAGTAAATCTGGGCGACAAGAGAGTGTGTTCAATGTGAACGAACAGTACAATAATTCTACCGATGTGGATAACAAATCAATTCCTAATCTATCTTTTCAGTCGGATGGGCCCTTCAGTGTTGCGGGAGGACAGGTAAATGCACGTTTTGAACAGTCATTTCAAGCGAATCCCGGCCTCGACGCTATTGGGGTTCAGCCACCCAGCTCCATCAATGTTAAGCCCTTTTCGTTACCTATAGGGCCAGACCCGCAAGCATGTCCTTGTTATTTAATCGAGTCAAATAATAATACAAACACATCAGCCGGCACGACTCCCATTCCTGTCATTGGTCAGCTCGGATTCATTCCTGTTATCTTTGTACCATACTGTCCCGGTGATGAAATGGATAGCAATAAGATGAAAGTCATGTTCCCATCCGTTACCCCCGTTCCATATGCATGCGACGCATGTGGCACACAAGACGGTAATTTTGGAATAAAAACGCTCGATGTAAGCCAACTTGGCAATATCGATTATCTGAAACAGGCGTTAAGTCAAGCCAATCTTGGCTTTTTGAATGTTCCAGTGAAGAGCAACGCCGAACCAAGGAAGAGTAGAGGCAGAAAAACAGAAGAATAAGAAAGGAGTAATTTATTGCTTTTAAATCGCGATTATATATTTTGAGGAAAGAGAGCTTATATACTCTTCTGGAAAATATAAATAAATATAGGATATTGGCATTGCCTGTCCGCCAGCTGATTAGCTGATGGATGGCCAATTAGAGATACTTATAATTACTTGTCGGAATAACCAAAGCTGGTAGAATACATGAAGAATTTAGAGCAAAAGTGAATTTTTAATTGTCAATTTTTTTTAGCATTGTTAATCCCATTTGTAGATGCATTTAACTCTTTGTTCACATAAGATACAAACAAACAGATAATTATCTGTTCAATATTAAAGTCTCAATCCAACAAATTAAAATTAAAAAAAACTGAACATAGATTTAGAAGTTGTAAGACTCACTTTAAATACAAAGCATAAAAAAATATTACAAATTATAAATATAATCTAACAATATCTTTCTTTTGAATCTTTTAGATATTGCTTTATTATTTTACTATTTCTAAATATGCTATCTTGTATGTTATTTATATGATCTACAAAAAATAACACTCTCATTTAAAAATCAATAGAAATTACGACATTTCTATTAGATCGTTGCTTGTGGTTATTCATTTAATATTTAATTTGATTTAAACCTATTAAGGTCTTTTGTAGACGCCACTTCCAATCTCGCGTTCCGACATCTACCAATATCCTAATATTTATTATTATAACTTATATATGATAGGAATACACAAATTTTTATATCGCATAGTTTTATATTTGATTTTATTTAGGTTATAGATTTTCTGAGATATATAAGTGAAATTAAATAGTATATAAAATAAAGCACATCAGACTTAGATTATAGTACTCTTAAAAACGATATATAGATTTATATAATAAAATATATAGAAATTTATTTACTTTGTTTGTTATTTCAATCTTGGACGCTTTATAATATTTGTAATAATTGGATGAATGGACAGATGGCATAAATTAAATAATATAATTTATGCTGCATTTAATCAATGAAAGAAATATATGATTAATCCATATATATAGTTTATTCCTATCAATATGTATCTTATACTTTAAAAACTGCCGAATTTACAATTCAACATAAGAAAATATATGTCAACTAAATAGCATAAAATTATCATAAAATAAATCTAAAAAACTATACAAACAAATACATTAGCTCTGCTTACTTTACCAAATGTGTTATGAGCTTCAGGAATATTATGAATATTAACAATATTAAAATAAAGACTTATAATAACGGAATGAAGGAATAGATGAGGAATAATATAAATGCACATATATACGAAAAATAAAAGATATAAATATTATAAATATAGATAAAAATATATATAATATTGTTGTGTTATGTATATAAATATAAGATTTTTTTATTTTATTACATAGCTCGTATCTGTTTTAGATTGTAAAATTATACATTTTCATGTTGATAAAAATTAGCAATAGACATTACGTATTAATTTGTAAAGATATTGTGTGAAAGTTATAAAAAAAACATATGTGTATAGAGTCATGTTTAAGAATAACCACGATAACCAGTTGGATTACCGAGGGAAGTGCCATAATTACCACCACGATAACTGTAAGGACTTCTTGCTGCATATGTCGAACCATATCCGCTTCCATAATTAGAAGTATCGTATCCATCATAACGACCGTAACCACCACGTCCATATCCTAAATAACCGTCCTCGTAACCTCCGGCACCATAACTTCCGTAACCTCCGTAACCTCCAGGAATAGATCCCCTGATAAAATCCCCATAACCACCATATCCGCCATAGCCACCATAGCCGCCATAACCACCATAGCCGCTATAGCCGGACCCTCCATATCCGCCGTAGCCGCTGTATCCAGGATAATTTCCTACGTTACCGTAATATCCATATCTGCCACAAAAAAAGACTTATTTTTCTTTGTATAATTTATTATTACTCACAATCAAATACGTCATGTAAATATGCAAGGAAGAATGTATGAAATTTTTTATGTTTTTCTATTATTATTTTATTTATATTTTTTTTATCTTTCTTTTTTCTTTTTTTTTCTTCATTTTTTTCTCTCCTTTATTTACTTACTTTTCTATATATTTTATATTTTGGATTAAAAGAAAAACTTGTACTAAAAATTCGAGTATGAATCTAAATAAACACATTAAATTTACTCTATTAATACTCTTTAAATCTTACATATAAATATATAATATTCTAACTGTATTTAAATGGATAAAGTATTTAACATTAAAATGTTGTATGCACTTTAATCAAATCTGAGCAAATATAATAATAAAACAAAATGTAAAAGAATGTAAAGAATATAATACGCAATATATCGGAAAGGTCATTTGCAAATCTTACCCGATATTACTGGTGCCGATGAGACCTGGATATTGATAACCCCTATTATATCCTGGAATTAGGCTGCTACCGCGATATGAAGTTCCAGGATAAACAGATCCAATAATTCCTGGAGTAGTGCCATATGAATACCCAGGATACCCTCCGGGATATCCTCCAGGATATCCTCCAGGATATCCTCCAGGATATCCGATTGATCCATAATCTTTGGTTATATGAAATGCTAATATAATTATTTTTTATATTAATATATTAATAAATTATATGTCGAGCAATCTATGTTATGGAAATTATTATTTTGGAAAATTATTATCAAAAGTAGGGCTACCCAGAAAAAAATTAACAAAATTTATGAAGATACTAATGAAAAAAAAACTAATGTTTCAAATTATACACTTATATATGTTTTTATTGTATTAATAAATTCTGTGTATATTTTTTAAATCATGATCAAATCAGATCAACTTAAATCAAATTGGATATAAAAATAGGTCTGATCAGATATAATTTGATCTAATTTGATCTGATTTTGATCTGATTTGATCCCTCATTTTTTCGGGGAATTTACATTATATATATAAATAATTGCTTAGAAAAGATATATTGTATATAATTAATAACAAAAATTTACATCTTAAAAATCCACTTTGATATTTCTGTTGTATATTATATATTATATCGTGTATTAATTGTTTATAATTGAAATTTGTTTATTTAGAAAATGAATCATTATCGTTTATATGTTAACTGCTGTTATTAATGGTATAACTATTATAGAGCGAGATAATAATCGCAGAGAAGCAGACATGTAATAAAGTGAATTTCCTATTCCGCGTAAAATGCGGAATAAGATTACGAGTGGCGATAGGTGTAATAATCGATTCATCTATTCCGACGTGATATAATGTAGTAGTGCTATGAGTAATTGGTATATATCATCTGTAAGTGTGTCACTACCGTTCTCACGCTCTGACTTCGAGTATCGGGCGCTTCCCATTACAAAAAGAAAAAAAAACGACACTTGTGATAATAAGATGCTAATATACCGAACTGTTTGAAGGCCTTTCCTCTCGCGAAGACATAACACATGATTCATGGGATTTCAAAGAAAATAATTTTAGCGTATATATGTGCGTGTATATATGTGTGCATTTCTAAATATATATATATATATATATATATATATATATATATAACGACACATACTCTCTCTCTCTATCTAGAGATGCTTCGAAGCATTGCTTTAACCAATATATATATATATATATAACATACTTCTCTATATAAAAATAATCCATTTTACAAGATTCTTAAAAATATGTAACGCAATTTTTTAACTCGATGCTTTAAAAATTAGAGAATAATTAATGTCACAAATGGAACGGTATTGCTTGTATTATACGTTATGCAACAAAGTAGCTATTAAATTGTCATATCAAAAAAGCTAATTCGGAATCATGCGTCAGTGATCTCCTTGAATTACATTCCGCGTTTAATTGTTTACCCAAGATAGGATTATTCTTTTTTTATTCGCGTAAACCATATATTAAAAGGATATGAATAAATATATCAATAATAATAAATGCTACAAATCGAAATAAAATATTGCTACTCTTACTTCGATCGCTCGCAGATGTAGTCAAATCTCCCTGGTTATCTGCATTACTCGCATATACACGTTGTGCATCGTTTAATTTTGGGAATAATTTTGATTCCGGAGATTCAGTCGCACTATGGCATAATGCAACTAAACCGCTTATGGTCGATATCTGTGTAAAACATGTTTAATATATTACATATACATAAGTACGTGGTGTTGTATATGGTATAATAATATAATTTTGATCTCGCTTTTTAGGAAACAACAAATTTTAATCTAAAAAATGACATATTTCCAAATATGAAAAAATATATTTTGATGTTTAAGTACATTCTCTGTGTTAATATTGATATTGTTTAGCTTGTTATTAATTTCTATTTAAATTATCTTTTAATAACACAAGTAAATATTTTTTTAACTAAAAGAAGTAATTTGGAATTAGAATTTTATAAAAATTAATGAAATTTTACAAATTAGAATAGACAGAAATTTAATTCGTGGTTATCAAAATATTTAATGCTCAAAATAAAGAAATTGTGCGCAACAAAATAAACAATACACAAAAATCTGTGATATTAAATAAGAAATAAAAGCCTCCAAATTGGAGTTTAATGTCAATTTAGTTTGTTCGCCAACTTAACTTCAAATCACTCTTTATTTACTCTTAAATGCGGAAACTGTAAAAAAATGCAGCGAGAAAGATTTAATGTATAAGTATAATCAGATTCGCGGAAAAATATTTAATAATTTATTAATTTTTACTTACAGCAAGAAACAATTTCATATTGCTGTTGTCACTACTTGCATTTTTCGGAGAAACACAGTGTTCGATACACGAACAGATATGATCTACTCTCGCACCTGCATGCAAAACCTATATATATCCTATCCTCTAACACGTCAAGATACCCCTCCTCATATTTCAAGGTGGTCTCGGTTGTTTGAGCTTAGGTCGCTCTTAAGAGCCGCGATGACAAGGACATCGACAAGAATCGGTGCGACACGCCCGAAGATGTGGAAACTATCTTTGCTTTACATTTCCTTCCGTTCAAATATACACACATGCATATACCAGTCTCTCTCTCTGAGGTATGGGATATTATGTAAGTATCTTGCAAATGCTGACACATAGATTTAAATATAAGAGCATTTTGCAACAACAGTTTTGTTTCTAAGGAAATTATTCTGCTATGTGTTCCCATCATTTTATACGTCAGGAACTCAGTTTGGTGTTTTTATAATATTGTTATATATTATTAAAGATTCTTCGAAAATTTATAGATAAGTCCACATTGAGACTGGATTATGTTTTTGTAACAAAAAGCTGCATGCATCACTTTCTTTCTTTATGTTTATTATTTTATTTTTTTAAATATTGAATGGTATTAAATGAGATATCACAAGTTAGTAAATCTCTCAATAAATGTTATTCAAAGAGATATTCAAAGATGTTATTCAAAGATATACATTCATTTAATTCCAACTCGACTTTATTTGAACGGAATTTTAAATGTAATGCTTAATTATTTATATTTGATATCGAATATTAAAGTGTGAGAAAAACTAGACATATGATTTCGGATTTGTGGACAAAATCAATTCCACACACAAATTATTCAAAGAAAATTATCCCTAAATTGTGTGTGTGCGTGCGTGGATTCTGTATATATTATGATATAATATGACCAAAAAAAAAATGTTTTTCCCTTTTTTTCTCTTCTGTAAATACAATCTTATGTAACTGTTTCTATACATAGTCATGACATTATAGGTTCGCAGTCATATCGTTACGTTTCTTGTATGCTTGCAAAGAGTTAGTTTCTCTTCATTAAGCCTTCAGTACCAAGATACATCTAAGTTCCGACAAAACACAGAGAGAGAGAGAGAGAAGAAGAGTTCCTATACTAAAATGTTTAATTCTTTCTTTTTTTACGCTCTCTTTTAATCTCTTCTTCACGCTCTTCAATTCCTATATGGAATTTTATTTATACTAATTTCAAGAGTGGAGCTTATCATTTTACGAGTTTTAATGTCTTAATTCTATAAATTATTGATTACACATCGTAATTTTTTTAGAAATATCAGTCTTACGCAAAGAACGCATACATGTCGTAAATGCAAAAGACCGGAACTTTCGTAATAATCTGAAAGACAACAGACTCTCTCTTTCTGTAATCTTTATCAGCACCGATGTGTCCACCCTAATTCCGTATTGTAAATATATACTCTTGGTATAGAACAAACTTTGCACAATCAAGAGAATATCACAAAATGGCTTCACACAATTCTTTCATAATTATATTTACTTTAAATCTCAATTTCATTATTCACAATTTTTCGTTTTGATATATTTTATTTAAGAATAAAACATATATCACAATTCTCAGCATGTTTCTGTTTGTCAAAAACTAAAGATGCGAGTTTAATATTATTTACTAATATCACTCGTTTATTCCGAGATCAAACGAGAAAGCGATAAGTTAAACACATACAATAGTATAAGTTATGTAATCTTTTTATATGCAATTTGGCATTTTATATATTTTTTAAATTTTTACATATTACAATTGATATTAATCTTTTATTACACATGCAATTAAAATAAAACAAAATTAAAGACGATACGATGCAAAGGAAGGTGAACGATGAAACATGTTCGCATAAGAATTAGCACCCATGGGGCGTTTCCTTGTTTTCAAAATAAATAAATAAATATACGTACACACTATTCTTCAGTTTCGGCTGCGTCAGTCGACAAAGCCGTGCAAATTGGCCGTAAGTAGTCCAAGATCGTGTGACGCGTGACGTCGCGATTTACTTCAAGGGATGACCGTGCTCGGATTACATGACGATTAACGAGAATCGCATGTCGCGAAGTAACATGCGTAACGTATCCCACGCATCGCATTTAAACATGTTCTTTATTTAAATTTGTATAACAAAAATTTAATACGTTTAAAATTCTATATTTAATTTTATAAAATATATAATTAATTTAATTTAATTATATATAAACTGAACAAAAAGGTAACAAAATTTATATAGTAATAGACAAAGAAGATTGTGTTCATTGGGAAATTTATCTATTATTCACTGAAAAATCCACACTCTTCACAAAAGTTTTATCGAGTTAGGTCTTATTGTGATTAAGAATTATTCAATAGCGAGGAAGTTTGATTCGAACTTATACTTTCACATTCTTCAAACAATATATCATCCAGTAAGCTCTTATTTACACATAACGCGACATATATACAAAGTGTTGAAAATCTGTATGTACAAACTTCGGAATTATATTAAAAGCGAAAAACGTAAAAAAGCTTCACAAATGTACCAAACAGGTACCAAATTTTTTTATTTTTTTATATATTTTCAAGTGGACTCAAATTATTTACTTCTATAGAATTTTTATGTAATACTTAAATACCAAGATATTTAAAAATTTAAAAAAAAATTGTAAAAAAGATGGCATACAATCAAATTTTCGCTAGAAAAGAAAAAATCAGTTTGATAATAGAATCTGTAGATGAAGTTTGTAGATATTGTTTTTCAATACTTTGAATAACTACAACATCTACAGTTACATAAATAAATAACGTTTAGTATTGAATGCAATACGAGTATACAAACCGTTATTATCGTTATTTTGAAGATGGCTTTATGCACTGATTTGTGCAAGAATAAAAAGCTGGTGCAAGTTTCGTTTAAAAACAGTGTTTTTGTACTAAAAGAGAAGTATTACAATTGCTACAATATAAACTACATAAGTGTGAACTTGTAATACTGAATTATATATTATAGGCTAACATTCTTTTACATGGCCGATCGAATGCTATAATATTTATGAAATTCCAATAGTAAAAATACATATTGCTCGTAAGAATAGCGAAGAAATAAATGTGAACAATTATCTTCATTCTGTTTGGAGGAGATAGATAATTTGCGAAAAGTGCAGAATACTAATACAGCAATACCATTCATTATCTCTAATTCGCTTTGTTTAATTATTATTTCCTGATCCATCATTGCAATCATATTGAATTATAAACAAAAAATCATATAAATATATTTTTTTCACTATACATTGAAATTAATTTGTTTTTCTTTTCATTATTGTTATTAATAAGAAATAACTTATGTATACATTGCGCAAAAATAAATAATATATAAATATTTCATTTATAACATTATAATCCAATATATAAATGCAATAACAGGAAAAATGAATCAAAAAAACTTTTCTCGTGCAAAAGAAACTTAATTTTCATTTAACTAATTTAATTTTCAAATATATTAAAAAAGAATAAGAGAATTTTTAACATGGTATTTAAAAAAAATAAATTATCCTTATATATAGCACGCAGTATATACCTACCGATTGCAACACGATATATGGAATTGATATTTATCTTTATAAATTAAGTTAGACAAATATTGTGATTAAGTTTAGATAGTAAAAGATTATGCGCGCACTATAAATGCAAGTTTATCTGATTTTAGTGCACGGATTTATCTCTCTCCTAGCTTTAATTCCATATATTGAATGTTCCATAAATATTCGACACTATTCGCTGTTAGGTGTGTGATTAAATTACAATGATAAGTTACTCAATGAACGACACACAATGGCGTGAGTAGATGCTTTCCAGACTGGCCCAAATCTCGAAAGCCAGATTGTCCCCAAGCACAGAAGAAAACAGACTCCAACTAAGGTGGCCTCGATTAATATTAGGATGTCGAAGCGTCATAAGTCTGGAAATCTGCAAAGCGATTGCTAATAATTAGTAAGAATGTTATGTATGATGTAAATGTGCTCTGCAAATGATATAAAAAACACTTAAACGAGTATGTTATACATAAAATGATAAATCGTGCATCAATTACAAAGAAATTTTTAAATATATATTTAATGTAAAGCTTGATTTAAAAGACTCGACGAAATATTTGCAGACATGAAGATAGATACAACTATCACCAATCCTGCTTGCTTGCTCTATTTTTAAATGCGCGGGTTTCATTAAAAAATTATTTCATATAATATATCACCCATGTTTAGAAACAAAAAAATTAATGAAATTGTTTATATAGAACATGCAGTTGTTAGAGAAAAATAAATTATAAAAATATATTAGTGTTAAATGATTTATTATTTAAATAAATATTTGCAACATCTGTTTTGTGCAAATACTGATATGAATTTTTATTCTTTAATAAGTTAACATAATTAGACAAAAAATAAATATTAAAATAATTTGTTAACGAGACAAAAAATTTATTAAAACAACAAAAATTTGCAAATTGATAATAGAACACTTTTATTTTGAAGTTTATCTTCAAACACATGATGCGTTATGAAGAACCATCATCATAATCATGTACGCATCGTAATCTCTGAAATGTATTATTGTATTTCAGATTTAAAGTAATGTAGTGCGAAACATTTGACATATAATTTATTATTTACTCTTGAAAAATGTCCAAATTCAAAAAAAAATTTTTATTGCCGATTTTATACATTTTTTTACACGTACAGTCGAACCCTTATATTGTCGGCACCTCTTCTCCTGTTACTTTCGGATTCTCTAATAGTTATTACTTCCCGGTGTACTACTTTTTCACTATTTGACATGTGACCATACAATTAATACATTGGAGCCCGAAAGCAAAAAACAAAAAAAAATATCACTCGCAAATCCAACATTCCGGAAATGACTAATATAGGAGCACGACTGTAACAATAAAGTATGCAATCTATATTTTATCGAAAGTAAATTTACCTCATTGGATCTTCGAAGTAGTCGGATGGCACTTGAAACAACTCTGGATCTATGTCATTTCGAAAGGCGAACTCTTGAAAAGTTATTTTAGCAGTGACCGTAGGCAAAATCGGTATGTCGATCTTAACTGGAAATCCAGGGGGCAACTTCATAAGTACAAATTGTCGTAACTTGCTTAGATGCTTAAACGGCGTGATTACTTCCAAAACATTAAGTAACATGTCGACGGTGAGGGGAAAATCCGGACTCATCGCCACAGTGGCTTTGAAAGATTTACTACTTTCCTTATAAACAAGATTTCTTCCTAGAAGCGGACACTGACCGGGCGGTGCAACGATATATTCATCCCACGTGATGTTCGATTCTGGCGGCGGATTCAACGATGCTCTTCTTAGAGGAGGCTGAGTAAATAAAATTAATTATACAATTTATTACTACATCAATTATTTAAGGAAGCTATAAAGCTTTTAAAGCTTCACATTTTACATTTTAATTGATATCTCACCTCGCCATTTTTAAAGCCTTGAGAACTACCCTTGGTAAGAGACTCCATAATAGCTTTATTTTTTTGGAGATCCTCCTCACTTAAATGTTCGCGACGTTTTCTACTTTCCAGTACCATGCCATTGATTTGATAGAAATCAGCATGAAAGGCGCCTACCATTTCCTAATTTTAAATATTTATTTCAATATTATTTTTTCTTCATGCTATACCATTCTTGAGCCAATTTTGAGTGTAAAATATCATAATTGACTCAAGCTTAAGAAAATATAAGTTGATTTTACTCTGTATAAATTGTTTTTTATCCTATTATCAGTACTAATATAATTATGAATATGTGTGTATACTTACTCTTTTGTCTTCTCTAAAAATCCATCCTGTCTGTGCTCTAGAAAACGTGATACCTTTGGTAGACATTTGTGCTGCCATAATATCACTAGACATAAGAATATCAACTTCATCCTCTATCTCGAGTTCCGTTTCCTAAAATATATTACAAAAGAACATTGCATTAATAATAAATAAGATAAAATAGTCATCTAGATTCCATTTTTCTCTATCGTGGGATTTCTATTTTAATATATGTGTAAAAGGACAATCAGATTTATTGCTAACGTTATGTATACTAAGAACATTTATCAAAATTTTAATGTTTTCAGAAGTTATACAGAATGAAGTTCATTATATATAATGTATTTTACCCCACTATATATGTGTAAGTATGTTAACCTTATGTCTCACTCTTTGGAAAAGTTTGGCTTTATTGTCGAGGACAGTCAACGAATGGCCGGGTTTTTGGTCACCATTGAAGATGAAAGATATGTCTCCCCTTTCCCATCTCATGTCGTTAAAGTCTACAAGAGTCGTGTCCATTCGAATCGAAGCCCCGCTTTTATGGATCTTACATATATCCGACGGCAACACTCTCGAAACTAATGGTACTGAAAGGAATTTATCGTTCGTCGACGAGAGAAACGTACATATAAAATTATATTTATATAGCTAAGAAAAGATGACATATATGATGCACCTGAAAAAGTGGGAATAAAGTAATTGAAATTTATTTTTTGATAAATCAACAGACTTGGTACAAGAATGAAGAATATCCTTCATTTGTCTATTTGCTCTATTTTAAACATGATTTTATATTTAACCCTTAGTAGACAACATAAATTTTGTTACATTTTAAATATAACTGTACATATGTACACAATTGATATGTATAACACCATTAAAAATAAAATATTTATTGAAAATATTAAAGGTTTATAAAGAGAAATATCTTTTAAATTATATATAATTTTATAAAATGTATAATTTATATAAAATTTTAGTTTTTATATATTATACTTGGTTAATTACAGCAATCTTTTTAAATTTGTAAAAAAAACTCTATGGTATCTGTATGAAAAGTTGAAATGTGCTTTATAAATTATGCACTTACCTCATCTTTTAATACAAGAGATAGAGGCGTATCAGAGCCTTATTATAATACTGTTATAACTGTTGAATTAATTATTTAAGATATTCATATAAGATAAAGAAAAATATTAAAAAATTCATAAACATGAAATAGTAAAAATTCATGCAATTTTAAAATAAATATATTACGAGATGTCGGTTTCTACTGAATCAGTTGTTAATAATAAAAATAATAGTAAGAAAGTCTTCTCTGGCAAAAAATTCAATTGTCCGAATTTCTTTGAAAAGGGTAGAACAGTGTCTTTGACTTTTGGTAAAAAAAAAAAGGAATTAAAAATGAGTAATAATTATTTACAATTTCGAATTTGAATAAAATTAAGAACTTTTAGGACATTTCCACATACATGTTATGTTGAAAAAAGAAACATCAAATATTTATACAGTTATAAGTTAACATAGATCTTTTTGTGGAAAATACAAAGAGAAACAAATTATTCAGTTCAATTATTTCAGTTCTCTCAGTGTTAATTCGAGAAAATTATTTACATGAAAGTAAAAACACGTAATATTATGACGAAAATGCTAAGAAAAAATTGGGATGCCATATTCATGGAAGCAAACATTCTGATTATTGCTTTCCACTTTTCCAGGTGCATGCTAATCAATATAATTCTGCAACGAAAATAATTAAGTAATTAGAGACATAAAGCAGCGCATGAGAAGCTTACCCCAGCTTTGAAAATCCCATTTTAATTCCATATAAAAATCGCCCATTTGATGTAAGGCGGCAACTAAATTCGGCCTCCTTTCTTCCATCTGCTCCCTTGTTTGTTGCTTCAATTTGCGCACTAAAGATGATACTATAAAGAAAATATTACAACTCTGATTTTACATATTATAATTAGATAATAATACATAGTGTATATCATTTTGATTAAATAATTTTTCAATTATTATTATAACTCAGAAACTAAAAAATTAGCATTTCATATCTCTCAATATTAAAATGTTTGTCTCCAATTTACTTAAGCAATCTGCTTTTAATATAAAATTCTTATCAACTTATTAATAAAAATACTGACATATGATTTGTTACATATAATAAAGTATGCAGAATGAAAAGAAAATTCAAAGTTTTACGATTTTCTTTTTAACATTTTGTATATGAATCACAAAAATAAGTGGCATATATATTAAATTGTTATATTATACGAACTGGTTTGCCTATCTCCGTAACTGATTGCTTCAGCCAGTGGACTCCAGCCAGCTAGATTCTTCACTTTTACGGGTGCACCATGTGCAAGCAATAATTGAACACATTCTATAATATAAAACAAAATATAAGTTGATTCCCTCTAGTTATCGATTTGAAACATTTTTAATATTTCATGGCATTAGTTCTCTCAAACAAAACATCTAGATAAAAAAATCTAATTGCTTGATCAATTATGCATAATTATTGCATAATTAACTTGTAACGTGTCATATTTCTGATATCTGATTAAATGTTAATTTTGATGCGGTTTACATACTAATATGTGTATAGCGAAATAAAATGTATAAAGATTTCCATACCTTTCCTTCCTAACATCACAGCTAAATGCAAAGGTGTGTTCCCTGCAACAGAGAACGCACAGAGATAAATATAAAAATGTACTACATTTCTTACTTCAGAATCTAATTATTTTAATTTTTCTCGTGTACTAGATATCAACGAGAACTATACGAAGTATATTGTGGAATGCAATTGTATTACAATGTCACACCTTGTTTATCCTTTTCAGCAATATCGTGTGTTCTAATTAAGGAACTCAGTGTCTTGATGCTGCCTTGAAATATACATCTGTGAATCGGGTACTTCTCACCTTCCTCCTGCGCCATGATCATCGGCATTTGAGATCTGTCATGCGTTACAACGGTAGGCGAGTTAAACGCAAGGCGCGGCGTTTTACATCGCAACACGTTCCACGTGTGACGTTAAAGCGTATCATCATAAATCATCATATTGACGTGATGTTATAAACATCAGAGCACATGTTTCATTTTCTGTCAAATTTGCGACTCAGTGTTGTTACACGATACTTACATAACTCTCGCAACTCTCTCTCTTACTTAAACTTTATACACCTCTATTGACCTTCTCTGATGTTAAATAACGTCGTTTTATCACTCAAAAATGAATTTCTGCGGAACTCTTATTATTCACCATTGCATCCGCACACTTGCCCAAAATCCATACGCGTATATGTATGTACGTATGTATGCACATATATATGTGTGCCGAGACCCGACTGCTCTCGCTATGAGACGTTAACCTTACTCAAGGCAAGGCAATGCTAATTTGCAGGAATGGACAATAGACGGTGGATGATATGGGATTTTTGCTGCGATTTACCATGAAACTTGTATTTGTTTTTACGCAAGTGTGCACCATCATCGGTATGCTGTTAATCACTGCTAATTGTCTCAAGAAGTATGTTCGTAAATTAGTACGATTGAAGATTGAACGAGCATGTTTACCGCTGAATTGTGTACATATATTAAATGCCATTCGAGAGAGATAGCGACATTGACTCTTGATCATTGTATCTTTCTAAAAAATCGATCGATCAGGAAATTTCTCGAAAAATGAATTGATTAAACTTTTGACATGACTTTTGACAGGGCTTGACTCGGGGCTCTCTCTTTCTCTCTCTTCTTTCTTTCTTTCATTACTTTCTTTATACGAGGATTAATTTATTAATATAATTTAACCTGATTAATTTAAGGGGATCCAAAATTACCGACAAAACGCGAAAGTCGTTTCAGTTTAGAATCCCCATAATTATCTGGAAAACCTTGTCCCAGTATGCAGTTCCAGTATGCAAAATTATTTAATGGATTCAGGAATAGGAATATAAGGTGAGGCATAAATGTATTCTTTGAAAAAAAACAAATATTTTTCTTTCGAATTAATTATTCAAATGTCAAAGTTAATACTCTCGAAAACAAAATTTTATATAAAAAAATTTTATTTTGCATTTTCAACTTACTTTTACGCGAGAAATTACTTCTTTCAATGTTGCACCATTTCATTCTGATACACGGAAAAAAAATCTATCCTGCATTATATATATTACGTATTATAATTTAATAAAATAAATTCTCTATGATGTTATTTGTTGCTTATTATTATCTTTTAAGGTGGATCATCCTACGATCCTACAAAGATGTATCGCTATACTGCGTATTTTTAATATCGCTATATATTATTTTGTAATAAAATATTTCTACAACGCTTCAATTTTTTTTTTGCTGTATAGATATAAATAAACCTTTAATTATTTTTACGCTAAATATCTAGAGAATAAATATTAAAATTACGCTGAAATTCTTTTTAAATAAAATTAATTTGAAATTATGCAACTTGCATACGCACAAATGGCTATTTATCATCCACATATATATTTTTTCTTATTTTTACGAAACATTAGAAGTTTTTCTAAATTATGAATATTTTTTTAATGATTCTTCTTTAATCTTTTATATGATTTATGATGAAAAGAAGCAGCTTATACAAAAGAAATACAACGAGAATTGATTTATGTAAGAAAAAAACATATCGTCCCATTTAAATATAAACATGAACTTGTAATTACGAAAATGTATGTATATCTATATCTGGAATAAAATCGTGCTGACTGGAATTGTATCGCCTCCTCCCCTATATAGGGAAATTAAAATAGAAAATAAGCTTTATTTAAAATATTTTTTTGAATAATCAATAGTTTTGGAAAATAATCGCATAGCAATATAAAAATGTATACACCCTGTATATAATGGATCATAATGCCGAGACTTTTAATCTTGATCATAGTCTAACTGCATTAATGTGCATGAGTAAAATCTCAAATTGAACAAAGAAACTTTGTTTACTCAGGCAGATTGTATTTTTTTCTCTTCCTCGATAAAAGTTGATTGGCTGAATGACATTGAAGTATCAAGGTGTTTTTCACGTGACCATGAAGATATGCATAAAAGGTTGCTATATATATATTTAGCAGAGTGAAGCACTTCTTTATTCACAGTGTCATTTTATACGCTGCACGTGATAGTGAATATTTCTCGAAATAAATGTGATCTCGTGTGTTTACGAATCAGGTATCTCACAATCGAATAATGAAAAGAGTGGATGTATCTTCTTTTATTTTCTTATTTTTTTAATTCGAAATATGTTAAAAAGCTTGTGTGTGTCTGTATATGTATTGAGTATATTAATACAAAAGAATAAATAAAAAATAGTAAATAATATAAATAAATAACAGAAATATTTAAACGAAATTTCTATTCTTTAAACAAATTTTTATTGCGAGTTTTGTAAACTTAAATTATAAAATCAGTAAAGCAAAAAAATAAGAAAACTTTAACAAAATATTATAAGAAAACTTTAATAAAATATTACAAGAAAACTTTAACAAATATTATAAGAAAACTTTAAAAAATATTATAATAAAAGAATATAGTATATTAAAAAGAACTTTAAAAAATATTATAGTAATATCTAAATAAAAAATGTAGAATTTGAACTCAAAACTAAGACTGAAACTACATAATTTGATACAAAAGAAATGAAATATTTTCTGACAAAAGTAAAATTTCTGAAAGATTGCTAAAAAAAACAGCCAGTGGAACAAAAAATATATAAATATATTAAATAATTCTATAAATTCTATAAACAATATCTGCAGGTTTGGGCACGTTAAGTATACATAACTGTGATTATGCTGAATACTAACAAATAAGATAAGAGGCTGCATTTGAAGTCACGTAATTGTCAGCCGATAACCATTAGTATAACGATGTTACGCATATGTGATGATTATGAAACTGTTATATAATTATGTAATTTAATATAACTGTAATATAATTTAATAACAAATAAATAAATTTATATAGAGAAGATCCTTTAAACCAAAAAAATTTAATTTCAAAAAGTGATCTTATTTCATTCGACCAAACACTAAGTTTCAACAATTAAATCTCTCTTTCCTTAAATCATAATTAATTCAAAGAACTCTTTCGTTTACTTTATCAGAAACTTAAACTGCGATTATCTTATTATCTCTTATCTTATTAAATTTTAAAAAAAGCTATGGTGTAACTATATGTATAACTGTATAATTATTGATTGATTGTGAAACTGATATTAATTTTCAGACGAAAATGATGACGCTCCACGGTTGTTAAACATAATTAAGCACCTCCAAAAACTTTGTTGAAAATTTATTAGAAAATCTTGTAATCTTAAAATTACTAATTTTTTACTGTACTGAAAATAAACTGTTTCAGTCAATCCATTAATTTTAATTTACTCAAGGAATTATTAAATGCATATTTACTGATAATACTTGCAGAAATATATGACCAATTTGGGCACGTTAAATATACATAACTGTGATAATTGTGCTGAATATTAGCAATAAGATAAGAGACTGCACGTGGAGTCACGTAATTGTCAGCCGATAATCCCTGCATAACAATGTTACGCATACATGATGAAGATATAATTATAATGATATGTTAAATATGTTTAAAAAATTGATAAATAATATTATAAATTAAACAATTAAAAGATAACATTATTATCACAATTATATTACCACAAAATATCAAAAGATCACTAATTTATGAATAATAAAAGATTGAAAGTTAGTCTTTGTTGTTTGCGAAGTAAAAAATAAGACAATGATAGGTTGAACTTTGGTAGATTAAATGAGTAATAAAATTTTATATTGTACCCATAGGTCTTCTGGCAATGGAGATGTGGACAAGAATAAGTTCCGCAAGAAGTATTTCAAAATAGTCTGTACCTATATGTTGTATTCTATTGTGCAACTTATAGAATCGCAAGGATCGTCTAAATTATAGAAATGGACGTGAAATTCATTTTAATCTCATTGTCATTAATATTTATTATAATGTTATCGGAAGCAAAACTGATCCGGTCAAAAAGAAGCATATTTATTAACAAAACACAGTTTCTGCTCAATTTTGTTTTTCCTGAAGAACCCGGTATAGTAAGAGTAAGAAACTCGGCAGAAGCCAGAGCAGCGAATAAGGTGACCACGTTAGATTTCGTAAGTATAACGCGATTTTTTTTTTAATCTTCCCCGTCTTATTAGCACCTTTTCGAAAACCGTTAACGTAATCGAAAAAAATGATCATTTAGACAGAAAGATTTTATCAATACGTCTTGTATCAATGATAACTGTATAATGAGTGTACAATTTTTAATATTTTCTTTTAACGATAGAGATATTAAAATCATATATATCTCAACTCTATTCTGATTCCGATTATGCATTTAAACAGATTGGTTTGGTAGAACGATATGGCTACCCAAGCGAGGAGCATCATGTTACAACGGAAGATGGATATAATTTGAAAGTACACAGAATACCTGGTAGTCCTCTGTCTAATAGCCAACAAAATAAAATAGTTGTGTTTCTTATGCACGGTATTTTGTGTTCATCCGATTGCTGGGTGATATTAGGTGCTAACAAAGATCTCGGTAAGTCCATCAATAAAAATAATGCTAGAATTGACATTTTAGAAATTATCAATATTTTTCATTGAAAATTTATTCAGTCTGTTGGATTCAAAATCAATGGAAAAATCCATTAAATGAAAAACGTTAATTCTGAAATATCCAGCTGTACAGTGTATTTTATTTTAATTATAATTATATAAATGCATGATATGTTACGTCATTTTGTTGAATAAATTTAGCAAAAGGAAAACATTTGAATAAAAAGCCGCTTTTGCTCTGTTTTTTTATCAAAAATTATATTAATAATCAATTTCACGATATGGTAATAGAATCAATTATATGTTATCTTATGTTGCAGCATTTCTATTGGCTGATCAAGGATACGATGTATGGCTTGGAAATTACAGAGGAAATTCCTATTGTAAATCACACGTTGAAATGTCTCCACGTGATGCCAATTTCTGGCAATTTAGGTAAAATTTTATTTGATCATCATAATTTTGAAAGTATGTTTTATTTTTCATTGAATCTTTATTCTCTTAATTTATTTATATAATTATTATAAGCGTTATTTTTGCTTCTCTTTTAATTCTCTTTTTTATTTAATTTTATTTCAATTTTCTTAAATCTTTAATATAATACTTTGCACGTACAATACATACATGCGTAACACGTAAAAAAGAATATTAAAATTTATTTTTATTTTATAGCTATCATGACATAGGAACAAGAGATTTACCGGTTATGATCGACTACGTACTTAATTATACAAAATCCGAAACTCTGCATTATATCGGTCATTCAATGGGAACTACCGTATTATTCGCTTTACTATCCACGAAACCTGAATACAATGCAAAAATAAGATTAGGAATTTGTTTTGCTCCGATTGCCTTTTGGAAGGAAGTGCCTTCCATAGCCACATTTTTAAGTAACTTAGTGCCACAGCTTAAGGTAAAGATAGAAAAAAACTTGTTCTAGTTTTCTTCTTTCAGAATTTAAGAGGCTGGTTCCGCCCATCTCCGTTTTTTTTTTGTTTGTTCCTATAAATGTCCTGGAACTCAAATCAGAACATCTTTTTTTCCCTTCTTATCTGAGGAGGTCTGAATAGATTCGTTCGTCTTCTCTACTATTTAAGCACATCTCATGACCGCCGTTATTTACGATAGAAAAATCATGGCATAATTTTCGAATCGAGGATTCCTTTTCATTCTTGCTTGATATAAATTATTTAAATGATTAAAATCATTTTAAAACCATTTGTACATCAAATATTTCTGTTTCCGAAGAAATTACATCTTATGCTTCTTCTATATCCAGGAAGTGCATCTTGTATGATCGTCCAAAGTTGCGTAATGTCGACATTCTACTTCATCTTAAAAACAAGTTAGAACTTTTTTTGAAAACGCGCCTTCGGCATTCTTTCATTTCCTCTTGCATCATAAATAGTAACAGCTAACAGCCACCGCTATCACCATATGAGAAAACGGTTCAACACTAAATAATATTTTTATCGCTGCCATCTACGTACATGGAATGGCTCATGTTACAATATTGTACTTTTTATAATTTTGCTTTTTTATATTTATATATGTTCCTTATTTTCTAAAATATTATTTTTGCAAGATATACTTTGATTATAATTGTCATACATCTCTTTACATAATAACATATCATTTTATACATTATACTATTACGATATTATATTTTATTTATAATATCAGATGTATTATGTTACATAGTTTCTATTACAGCTCTTTTACATCTTTTATATCTGCCTATTAGATATTTTTCGATAACAACAACATATATGAAATAGCTCCATTGTCATCGACAAGTGTCACGGTAGGAAGAAAATTGTGTGCAGATAAAGCAATTACTCAAGCTTTCTGTATTACAGTGGTGTTCTTAGCCGCAGGATCCGATCTGATACAATTTAATACCGTAAGTTATACCGTATTTCCATTTTAGTATAATTTCGCTAATTTTAACACTATTTTTTTATTTAATGTTTATTTTATGAAATTTAATAACCATTTTGATTTTTTTTTAAACAAAAAAGATTATAAAATTTAAATTTTTATTTATTAATATGTTATATAGATCAATCTTTTTTAAATCTTTTTCTAATAAAATTATTACAGACGGCATTACCGGAAATACTGTCGTATTTTCCGGCCGGCACTTCTGTAAAGACTTTACTGCATTATTATCAAAATATTATTACAGGTACGTATTTTTTTTATCTTAAGCATATAATAATATAATACTAATTATAAAGAAAAGTATTCAGTATATGTAAAATATATCTTAAGTTCTGTTAATATTTTTATTCTTATAATTAATATATTGAAATTTATAATACCTATTATCACTATATTATTATTTACTAGAGAACTAAATAACACATGAAATAAAATATTTTTTTTCTCTTTAGTTATCTTTTTCCTTTTACATATTTTATGTATGTAAACAAGAAATAAATTTTATTCCATCTTAAAAAATATTTCTTTAATCTTCAATTATATATATACGTTTTACATGTTTACGATTATCGATATCGATTGTTTCAGGCGACTTTCAAAATTTCGACTACGGACATCTGGGCAATTACGAGCGATATAAACAGACAACACCTGCGAGATATGATGTAAAAAAAATTACTGCACCTATAGCTTTATTTTATGGCGTTAACGATGCAGTTTCTCTGAAATCAGTAAGTATTTTCTACTTCCAAATTTATTTTAATTAAAATATTATTTGTTCAAAAATATTTGTGTAATTTTATACATTATATACTTACTTGTATTTGATTCTGTGTTTATATTATCATTTACATATATTAAAATTATTATATTTATATATATAGAGAGAGATAAATGCTTATATTCTAAAAATTATTATTTTCAGTATTACCTTTTTTTCGTTTTTCTGTTCTAGAATGCCCTCTATTTATATGAACAATTACCAAATGTTGTCTTGCTAGAAGAGCATCCGTATAAACTTTTAAATCATTTCGATTTTTTGTGGGCCATCGATGCAAAAACTCTCTTATACGATCGATTAATAAAAACAATGCAGAAGTTTGATGTTGAATTAGACTCGTACCGGTTTTAGTGACATAAAGATATGTATCCGAAGCACAACAAGCAGTTGTTTATAAATCAAACACTCGAAGTTTTGAGCTACAAATTTAACGAATTCACATATCGTCTATAATAAGACTTAACGACTGAAAATCTCGATTTAACACCAACGATGATTTAAAATACAAGAATAATTATAATGTATGTGTGTAAACAAGAAGAGAGATTTAATTAATATTAAATAATATTAAAACTAATATAAATCTCTCTTTTGTTTTAACATATATCTCATAAAATTATTACAGGAATTATATTTAAAATATAATGTTAGAGAAAGGTTTATTTGTGTGATTGTGTGCGTATGAATATAATTTAATTTATAAATTTTTATATTTTCGGGGGTAAAGGATAATTGATTTTTTTGAAAATAGGAATTTATCCAAATTGTTTGAAATTTTTTTCTACATAAATATGCAAGAAAATATAAAAAGATAGTATTATAAAAATAAGACACTTATTTATGCATATATTAAAATATTGTTTATTTTTTACTTTAATATACATATTAAAATAATCTCATGTACATATCAAGAAATGTATCAATGAATGTATATAACCAATGATTATGTTTTTTTTCATGCCTGTGACCATATTTGGTATCGCGACATTTCTCGTAATATTGATTCGAGTGTAAAAATGTTAAAAGTTTCTTTTATATCTCATGAGGTGCTACTCAGAACTCTAAACAAAAAGCTGGAAATGTGAAAAAATCTACTCCTCCTAATACTTGAATATATGTATCTTTATACGAAAAATTATGATTTCCAGAACACGGAGGTCCATTCTATTATAATTATTGCATTTTCCTATAATTTTAACCGTACTGTTTTGAATTTGAAGAGTTTCAATTATTAATAGCGATAATTAATTTTTTCACGTTTATATGATCGCTCGATGATAGATATACTGTCAGGTTTTCGCAAAATATTATACGAAAAATCAAGATATTTTTGCAATATTGGTTTGACCGTAAAACTGTTAAGAATTTCTTTTGAATTTCGTGGAGTGTTACACAAAACACTAACATTCACTCGACTTACATCATCGACCACCGATCAGACATGCGGGAAAAGGGTAACAATAGATTCAAGAAATGTGATTCAAACACACTTCGCGCATTTCATAGATTTTTTTATTATGGAGAGACAAAATTCACATATTTTACAGAAATAATAAATATATTGTTGCTCTCATTTTATAATATTTATTTCTATTTCTGTGTAAAATAAAATTATGGCAATGCGGACGGATATGACACTTATAACGATGATATTAACAGCAAAACGGTCATTGCTTTAACATCTCTAGAGCAGCCTATGTATATATTTTATATATGTACAATGTGTGTAACATAACTACATATATTTTATATATTTTAAAAATTATTTCATTTTCGGTTGAAGAGTTATATGGTTTCAGCAGCGCTAAACCAGACTGGCGGTACCGATGTTAATTACGACATTATCAGCATTTCGCTCATAAACTGTTAGATCGTGCCCTCTTGGCTGCTCCAACAAAGCGGCGAGTTGTTCCCCGTTCGTGAATGACCCCGTCGAAGGTGGTAGAATCACGTCACATTCTAGTTGACCTGTACAGAGAAAAAAGTGATACTTTCCAGAATATCCAGAATTTCCTTTGAGACATCATTCTTTAACGACAGAATTTTCTCTTGAGTTGCAATTATAATTAATCAATTAAATGGAATATTTAGTGAATGACATTTATACATATATATAACATTTTTTTATATAAACTACTTCTTGAGTATCATCATTTTTTGATTTACCTGATAAGGAAGGCGATGCGCCTTTGCTGGAGCCGTACATACGAGTACTGTATCCAGAATCATTATGGGTATCGTGCAGAGGCGGTGTCGGACTGTATACCGGGTTGCGTGATCTGTAGGGCATTCTCGCGATACTATCGTAGTGCATGTCTTCGGGAATACCTTTTATACAGTTCGCTCCTTTGTATGCCTCGGGTTGTTCGGTGTCATCGCCTTCCCCTTCGCTACTTTCGCTGTCATTATCTGTGACATCGATGTCGTTTAAGATGAATTAGTTCGAATTGACAGTATCTTTTCTAAAGATTTAGTTTTTAGAAATATTAAAATTTTGTTCTTAAGAGACAACGATTAGACTTTTTCTCTTAATCATGGTAACTTATATTTTAATGTAACATAATATAATTTAATCTAATCTAATTTTTTTTTTTAATTTAGCTAAATCCCTATATAATTTATTTCTGTCATTGTAACTATAATTTTTATTCGTTAGTTCTAACATATATGTTTTCTAGAATATCACTTTGTAGTTTTCTATTCTTATATCACCTTGAGAATGCACTCTCTGATTTTGTGAGCACTTAGTATATTCATCCAAATTAGCCTGTTCGTTACTTCTGGAGCGAATCCTTTGCCAGCCATTATGCATATCAGGTACTTGCTGAAATCGCTTAATTATCTCGTGGACGCTGCGACGATCACCATTCCATTCCATCGTATTTCCATCGCCGATATTTCGAGTATTATTATTATCCACGGCCATGCCATGCATATCATACGATGCGCAATCCTTAAAAATTTACAAGATGAATGTACTTTATATTCATCAGCTTGATTTTAATTTGCAGAAATGCTCTATCTCGAGATAACTAATTATTCTAGTATGTTAAAATAACTTTATAAGAGAGATTCTTGTTACCGTAAAATTTTTTATTATGTCAGATTTTTTAACATATTATAGGGGTTTTTTATAGGCAACAAAAATAATAAAAAATAATTTTATTATTGGAACTTAATTTAAGATTTTTTCAAGCAACTGTTAACTAGCATTTTTTTTTATTTATTACTTATAGAAAAGTCATAATAAAATTGCAATAAACAATAATATAATTCTTACCCTTTGTTGATGCCTTCCTTCCATAGAAGATGATTCCGTCGGTGCTGCGTCTAAGGGCGAGATTCCACCCTGTCGAATGACCCCGTCGAATGTTTCGTTCAATCTCGGAGGAATGTCCAACACTCTAAGCGCCGATCTAGCCGTTCCAGATCTCGAAGGTAGATCTCTCATGGATGTGCTAAGTCTAGGTATGGCCGGTATATCAAGATCATCCAAACTTCCGCGATGAATCGGCGTTTCCCCCGGAATTTCGAAACTACGATCCTGCGGCCGATCATCCAACAGATCTTCCAGTGATCTCGTTCTAGCCGGTATCACCATCTCCGACTGATAGTAATTGGTTTTCATCGGCCTTTCGCTGTATCTATCTCTTCCACCTCGCTGCAAGTATCGCTGAAAGTGCGAGTACCTCTCGTCGCATCTGGACCGTTCTTCCTGAACGCATCGTGTCAGTTCTGAGATCTGTCCCCTGGTTCTCCTTTCCAGATTGGCCACCTTCAGATCCAGCTTTTCGTGAGCCTGATCGATGTGTGCTTTTAACTCGGCCTTGTCTCGTTCCAGTTTTGCTTCCATATGACGGAAAAATGGCGCGCAATAGCACGTATATCCCACGCCCACCGGACCTTTTCTAATATTACCCGCTAGATCCAAGTAATACTGCTCGCCTCGTCCTAAAGGGTCAGCTGGCAAGGAGTCCAGACGGGGTTGAGGGAACGCTTCCGGATCAGGGTAGTAGTGACAGCCATAAGGCGACCATTGTCGGCCCATGATAGCCTTTTCAAAACGGACCTTGTGCTGCTTGTTGCTGGGCTTGTGTTTCTTTCGATCTTTCTTTGAGTTGCTTCCGCCACCACTCGTACCACTTCCAGTCTTTTCTCGCTTTTTATTTATTGCCTTATCTAAGATAAAATCATAAGATTCATCAAATTGAACATTTTTAATAGATTGCTGAAAATTTTGTCGACGAGCTAATTGATTCGAATTCAATCCTATAATTAATTAATTCAATATTAATTAATTAAGAACGATGGCACGGTGCTTGTACGCAAAGAATAGCATCATTTTTATATATAATGTGATATCATTAATAAATTAATAATTAGACTCTGTTCTCACCGTTATCTATCTTGCCGTCTACTAAGTCTCTTTCGCAGCTTTTGCTACGCATTCGGCTTTTACCGCGAGCCTTGGAGATAATCTCGAGAATTTCGGTGTGATTCTTACGGCGGGCGATATCCTTTGCTGTTTCACCTTGTTTGTTTCGCAGACTTCGATCGCAACCGGCTTCCAGGAGGATTCGCGTCAACTTCCGGCGACCCATCGCAGCGGCTATATGCAAGGCGGTGTCGCCGTTCTAAGATGAACGAATTTATTTGTATTAATAATTGAATAATGCATGCGCGCCGCATGAGAATTAATTGCAAAAAAATTGTTTTCTAGCAGGCAAATTATTTGATTTGATTTTTTAATTAACTTTCTTCTTGCATTTATGCTTGTATAATCACACATTTGAATAATTTCGATCTCTCGAAGATTCAAAAATAATGATTATGGTTTACTTACTTTGTTCTGATCAGATACCCTGCACAGGGCTGAAATTAGTATACGCGTTACACCGGCATGGCCGTAACGTGCCGAAGTATGAAGTGGCGTATCGCCATACTGAAACGAATGATTAAAAATTTATAGCTGTCTCACTTTTCTCTTGAATAATGCATATAAATAAAATTTTTTAGATAATTTTGCGGAAAAATGGCATTCATGACGGCATCTTTTATTAATAAAAATTTGATATCTATTTTAAAAGAAGTCTCAGATAAGAAAATGATAATGATAGTGCTACTATGTTCTTTATTATTTACTTCATCATGTTTTCATTCAATTAAAAGTGTACTGTAATATTATTTCCTATAATTAATTTTCGTACATTTACCATTTATTTATAAACATGTTATCTTTACGCATCTGTATGAAAATGTTGTGTGCGTAACGATATTATATCATTGCATACAATTACGTGACAGAGAGATCTCCGAGGGGTTTGGCTTCACACGATATTAATGTTAAATCCCTCTCTTTATCCTCTTTCATCCATGTGCCGCGATGAATGCGATAAAACGGTTGAAAAAAGATCGGCAGATCGCTCACGTTATTCTGAAGATCGGGATTGCTGCCGGCTAGGAGGAGCTCTCGACAGCTTTGATTATGGCCGTTTTGACAGGCGAGGTGAAGCGGTGCAAATCCGGCGAGATTCCTGGCATGCAGAGGGGCCCGCTGGGTCCCGAGGGCCTTTGCCAGAACCGCCACGGTTCGACTGTATCCGCGCCATGATGCCTCGTGTAGCGCCGAGTTTCCATGCTGAAAACACGCAGACGTATTCATCGAAGGTTGCTCGGCTTCAAACTATAGGGTGTCTCGGAAGAGTTACAAATTAGTTCTAAAATATACAGAATAATGGCGATAATACCGTTTATAATAATTTCTATTTCGTTACCTCGCATCTTTTTCAGTTTTTTTTCTTTTTTTTTAATCATACGTTTCAGACTTTACATGAAGATCATTATTTTTTATTGTAAGGAGAGCGAAAAAAATCACTGAAAGCTCTTCTTCTTAAAAATTTTTTCTATTTTTTTCTCTTGTTTTTAGAATAAAAATGGATTACAAAGAGAGCGGATCAGTTTCGAATATTATAATAATCTTAATCAAGGTAGCTTACGTTGTAATATCAGTTTGTACTCTAAATTTATTACGTCGCAAGAGGTGAAAATTAGCGGTTCGCTATTTCGATCTCGCGCAAAAATCGTCATAATGTGCGCGATACACCATCGTGCAGCTGGTGTGTGCTCAGAGAAACTGGTGTACGGTACACGGTGTAGCTCAACAAAGGAAAAAGGCGGACGGGCAAAAGAGGATGACCGAGAGACTTACAACTGCTCGCCCGTACTCGCTGGTCGATGAACCGTGCTATGCCACTCGCGACAGCATCGCCGCGCATACACCTAAACCATGCGTGCTCACGCACGATGCTGCTCGGCATATAGGGTGTCGGAGACTTGGAAAATAACGTAACTTAATCGTACTCCGACTATTTCTATTTCTCTAAAAGAAACTCTGAAAATGGCTTTGAACATTTTTAAATAAGTTTTCAAAGTTATCTTCTGGAGCTTCCTTTAAATTTGAAATCTTTTTAACACAAGGTACTCTCTAATAAAAAATGCGATATAATTATTCCGCAGGTTTATTACTTGATTTAAATTATGTAAAAAGATATTTGGATTGCTCTACTAGCAATGGTAAATAATTAGTATCAAGTTAAATTGCATAGTTGATCCTATATAAAAATCAAATATCAAATAATTTTTTAATCTTTTAATTTGTATAATCATGACCTTTGAAAAAAAATATATTAATGATATAAAATGTGTGATGAGTATTTTATATAATAATAGAGATTAAGTAAACGTTAACATATACTCTAACATATGTACATTTATATATAATTTTTAAAAAATATACGATTTTTTATAATGAAGGAAAGGTACAAAGAGATGGTCTTTCGTTCTAACTCTCAGCCTTATCTTTCATTCTACAACAAGAGGGTACCTTGTCTCCGTGTATCTTGTTTCCCCTTCTCTGACCATGAAAAACGACACCATAGAACGATAAAGGAGTGAGGTGCTCATATTTACGATTCATCGTCAGAGATCAATCCAGTGACGGATTTAATCTTTTTATGACTCTAAATCATAACATAGTTAAAAGTTTTTTTTATTTACACCTTTGACCAAATTAACGAGATTTCAATAATAAATTTAAAATATTTAAATAAACTAAAAATGTTCCATTCGTTATTATAATTTGAAAACAAGTTAAAAAAGTGATTCGATTAGCAATTAACAATGTGTGTGCGACACATTAAAGATTTTATTAAAATAAAAAATTATTAACATAGATTATAATTACACAATTTTTTTTCTTTATAATAATAAACATCATAATTTCTAAAATCATACGAGGCGTTATTTCGTAATACAAGGAATTAAATCTGTAGCTTGTGTTTTTAGTTTAATCCTCATCCATCGACTTTCCTCTATCGAATCATACGTTTTGTCTTTTGACAAGTCGACGTCTCTGATCATAAGCTAAGCAATCTAATTGTAGGTCACTGCATAATATTAATGACGCTTTTTGCGGTTTGCTTGGCCTCAGTTTTATTGTAATCATGTAGCATAGAATCGTCTAACGATAAGAGCGATAAGAGCGAGAAAAAATAGTGTGTCAGCCAGCACTTTCTTCGCTGCCGCAGAATAAAAAAAATCATAGATAGCTTTCATCGACACGATACCATACAGGACTCGTATAACCACATGGGATGTTCGGAGAAGTTGATCATGTGACTATTCTAAAATAAAATTTACATAAACAGAGGAAAAAACATTTTTTCACTCGATTAAATTATAAATATAATATCATAAATATAATCTCAATTTCTTAATAAAAGTCGAGACATTTTTATTGCATATTCAAAGAAAGATTTTTAATGCAAATTTTCAGAAAATAAAAAGAATATAGCAAAAAAATCGATATTGCATTTCAACAGGCGGTTTAATATAGTATATCAAAAGAAAAAAAAATATCTCGATAATACACATGTTAAGCACGTGTTGAACTTATGGCTCTTTAAACATACAGGAGCTTTATTAAGAAATTTTATCATTTTTAAATTCTTTACTGATTTCAATTACATTTATGCTTGTGAAATTGACATGTCAGGATGGCCGAGCGGTCTAAGGCGCCAGACTCAAGGTGTGACCTTACCCGTCTATGACGGGTGCCAGAGCGTTCTGGTCCTCTCTGAGGGCGCGGGTTCGAATCCCGCTTCTGACACATATTTTTTGTATTTTACCTCGCCTTTTTTTTAAATGACATCTTATCTCAATATCATATCTTGATATCCAAGCCGCCTTTTAGAATTTTTTTTTTTAATCTACACGAATATTACAGAGCGCGCGATATTTATTTGCTTATCTCATGTATTATTTAATAAACTACGATTAAAAAATCTTAAATTTAAAAAAAGAAACATCTTTGTCGATATGTATAAAAGTGTAGAATTATATGCTGAAGAATATATAACGAATATATAACGCGTGTTATTTAATCTACGGAATTAAAACAAATTCTTAATTAATAAATTATCGTTTTGTTGCGATCTTTACTAGCAATAATTATAATATTTCTCTAATAATACTTGAAGTCAAATATATTTTTCAATACTTCAAATTTTTTTGTCAATCTAATTTGCTATTCGTATTAATAAAAGATAAATCTTATCGTTAGGATCAAGTAATTAACGTAACGAAAAACTTCGTGATATATTAATTATTTAATTAATAAATAATGTATATATAATTTCAGACACTTATATTCTTAGTATATATATATATATATATATATATATATATATATATATTTTATAACATATAAAATATTTTGGCAACGTGAATTAACTGTATTCGGCGTTATCGACATTTTTAACGTCATATAATAGCAGATAAATCGCGAACCGCTGTTTATTCAAGGTCACGATATATAATGATGGATCATGTATTCAAATACTCACCCACACCGATTGTATACCATGCACTCACACATATTCATGCACAAATACACACACACATACTTGCAAGTATACTCTTTTCCACGCGTTTGTCGAGTATCCGGTGGGATGTTGCTGCGAGGAACACTTTAATGTATTCACCCCTCCTATAAAGAGGAGAGTCGGACCGGGCATGCTAATTGCCTGCGGGACAATGGTGGGATTCTACGACGACCTGCGATTCCCCAGCCGCGTCGTATCATACATCGGGAATAATTTCATTTTATTTCAACCCACGCGTATACGCACGACATGAGCCGTTTCCTGCATGCTTTCGGTTTGAACACATCATGACGATTGAACAATGCGGATGAGCGAATTTAGAAGCAGTTTGTCGCATTAAATTTAAAGTAAAGATTTTATCCATTTAAATGAAGAACGCGATATATTAATGTTATATTTAATCTGCAATTACACACATGCATACAAACATACACATTAATTATTGCTGATTACAAAATATATAGAGCATCAGAATGTGATAAGCAAACAAGAAACATTTTTTTATAAATATTATTGATCATCGATAATTAATTATTTCAATCATTTCAAAATAATTTTAATTTAGTTTTTTTCATTCTGTATTTAGTAGAACAGTGTATTGATCCATCTATTTATATACCAACAATAAGTAATACCCTATATAATTTACAATGTTAAACAATTGTCTGAAATTTTAATCTTTGTACAACAAATAATTCCTCGTATTAAAATAATACATAAAAAATTTTAATAAAGCGGAAAAAGCTAAATATTAAATAAAAATGGTCTTAGCTTTTACGAGATTAATAATGAGTCTATGGAGATGGGGTAACTACCCCTAATAGACCGTGTGGCCTAACGGATAAGGCGTCGGACTTCGGATCCGAAGATTGCAGGTTCGAATCCTGTCACGGTCGATAAATTTTTTGCTTCTTGCGAAAGTGACAGAGAATAGAAAACATATATAACAAACATATGGAAAAATAAGCTATATCAAGAAATTGAAGTGATAATATGAGAGTTATATATTTTTTATGGTTTCAAATTAATCTATCCACAGAGAGAGAGACGTTAAATTATATTTTATCAATATAGATTATACACCTTAAAATTATCGTACATTTTTTCGCAGCTATAAATCTTTCGATTAATGTAAAATTGATTTTTCCCTATAAAAAATTTAACATAAAAACCTTCACGGCAATTATTATTTCGATCTTTTAAAAATACATCCAGTAAATCTTGGTATAACCAAGACAAGAAGATAATTTTAGTAAAAGATTACAAAAGGGCAAATAATTAAATTTTTATCAAAAGGAAGTGAACTTGAAATTTATTAGAAAATCGAGATATAAGAGAAGGTCGCAGAATTCACATATAAGCAAAGAAATTTGATATATCTAGAATTGAAAAAAAAATACAATATTTCTGCAAGACAATCTGTAAAAGAGTGCTAATAAAAAACACAGAATATATATCATATATATTATATTTAATTTTTATTTATAAGAGAAACACATCAAACGACGCGCACGCGTGTATTCGAATGCACGGCGTCGACCTACACCTTCAGCATCGATTAATTCTCCCTCTGCCTCTTGTTTCCCCTTCTTTATCATCTCCTTTCTCCTTCTCGAAAAGATTACCCCTCGCCGAGCGTCTTTCATCCTCGATAAGTGAAATTATTTGCCTTAAGCAGACGGTATACATGCGAGAGATGAGAAAGAAAGACAACCAATGCACCGAAGAGATGAAAAAGAGTGGAGATGTAAAAAAATCGAAGGAAAGGAGATGAAGTCTCAGAAGAAGGCGCGTTTCTAGTTGACCCATGACCGCAAGTCGTATGCAAGCTCACGGTTTGCAGGAAATATCTGTTTGCGAAGGTATCAGCCGCGACCGAGCGGATAAACAAGGGTGGTAACTTATATTACAGAGTTTCTTAAGTCTGAGAAAGGAAATTAAAACTCTCGTAAAGATGATAGGTTTATGTTAATCGCTCATCCATGTTGAATAAAATTTGTTTAATAAATGACAGATTGTTAAAAAAAGTAACATGTCTTATAACTAAACAAACTGTTTTCTTCCTATAGTATCGAATTAAGATATTACTAGAATATATTCAGATAAATTAATGTTGCAATTTATTTTATTAAGGAATTTAAATTAAACGTAGATATTTCAACTTTTTTATGACGGTCACTCGCTTCCATCCCCCTTAGAGAGATATTTTTATCGACGGCAAATTCTCGTAACAAGTTTTATTTTTATTGTCCTTGCTGAAATTAATAGTTTCTGCATTCTGTTTAGGATATAAAAGAAAATTTATGCAATACTACTCACATCGTCTGCGGCACTAACGTCGACGCCCTGCAGTAACAGGGTCTCGCACACTTCCACGTGACCACCTGCCGCGGCCAGCAACAGGGGCCCCCGGCCATTCTGAAACACGACAGGAATTCTGAACTCCTCGTGCGACCATGCTGGTAAGCGTGCTCGATAAAACCCACTAATTAAGAACCGTCCACCGAAAACATTCGAAAGTGGATATCTCCTCGTTTGGTGACGCCCGATAAAATTTCTTAATCAGACTCAGAGTCAATCGTTTCAATACAAATTAACGTCTCACGTAGATTTCGTGTTTCTTTTTAAATTAACATTTCCAATAAAAATTAAACTTTTAATAATATATTAAAAAACTTACTCCTCTTTGACGTAAATTTTATATTTTTATGCTTATAACGTAGAGGTAATTTTCTCTTACCTTAGAAAATTTTTATCAAAGACGTTACGTATTTTACAACTTATTAATTCCCAATTAATTATTTTAATAATTTAAATTTAAATTTAAAATCCTAAAATCTACATAAAATTGTTGAGAAAGGTATATATATTCTTTACTATATATTTATACTCATATAATATTTATTACATAAATGCTTGAGAGAGTAATTTCAAAATTGCGTGTTGAATGTCATCTTCCAGTAACACAACGATTAATAAATCGAGCCCAACAGCGTCGAAAAAAATCTCTCAGGCAGCGATTAATTTCATCGATGTAATTAAAGCAGGAGCAACCTCAATAACCGTATAAATAATCAATTGGATGTTCCATTCGTTCGTATTCTGAATACGCTTTGGACAAATTGCGCGTCTATCTGTATTTTAAATTTAATCTAATCTACGCAACCACACATATACACATACATAAAATCGCGCTGCCTGAATTAACAAATAGATAAAATTAATTTATTGCTGTCAGTTGTGCTCGGAGTTAATAAAGTTTTCCCTCCAGCTAATATCGCAAGCAATTACAGGAGAAATTCAATTTAACGTTTTGCGATACTTTGTTAATTTAATATTTTGCGATACCCTACAACTTTCTTAATTACATCAATTTATTGAAATATGACGTTTTTATTCTGTCTTTTTTTTTTCGTTAAGAGATATATAGATAAATATAATCGAAAGCAAGTATTACAAACAGGAAATAAATGCAAGTATAAATATAGAGAAGAACACTTCATTATAATTTTTGAATTGCTAAAAATTTGTTTCTCGAGTTAAACCAATTTTAATGCGAATTTAATTATCTTTTTTTTCGGTCTGCTATATTTGTGTGTGTATATGTGTCGCGCCAGTTAAAATTTCGAAAATTTATAAAATTAACTTTTCTCAAGATCTTAAAAATAGTAAATTATAAAAATATGTCAGAAGAATTGTTTGTAAAATTATGCGTAACTAATATTACAAAATAATTCATGTAACATTAGAATACTTGATTTATATAATATTATAAAAAGTTTTTTAGACAAAGGTCATACGGTTTTTCTCAAAAGACCCATATGATATGACTTCCTTTTTCTTTTTTTTATTATTTTTAGGTAAAATTGTATAAAATCAATTGTATCAAATTGTATCAAAATTGCATTAAAAATTCCAACATTAGACGAATTATCTCGTATATATTTTTAAAAATCTATGAAAAATATCATACCTCGTCGGGTAACGGTTTAACATTTTCATCGAGCAAGCGTGTGACTCGAGCAACGTCGCCACGAGCAGCCGCCTCGCGCAACTTTTCTGCCATTCCAGTCGCGCATCTGTAACAAAAACAATATTGAAAAACAATTATGAAATAGTATTTAATTCATGTAAATCCTTACTGCAACTAAATAATGTCTTTATTGTAAAGTTTTCTTATAGTCTTACTTCATATATGCAAAATAAAATCACGAAGCAGATGTAAAAAACAAGGCAGACGAAAAACGTCACTTTATGAGTACTTGATAGATATACAATAAAAATAAGATTATACATATTAATATACAGCACTTTATACGGATATTCAATTGTACTCGTTCTGAGATTAATTTAATCTATCAAATATTACGTTCTATAGATTACAAATCCTTATTCGTCATTTCATTTTAAGTGGATTTTACTTAAATAGAATCTGAACGTAACGTATTTAATCAAGATACATATGCTGAAGAAATTCGAGAAAAGGCGTAGGAGTCGAATAATAAAATTTTTATTCACAACTTTCTTTTCGAAGAATCCGTGAATGAAGCCTGTAATTTTCCACCACTCTATCCGTATCTATGCTTAGCTCCTCATATTCTTGTCGTATAATCCGTGTAACGCGGACAGTAAATTATCTCGATGTCTAGCGAGGCGGTATATGATCTAGGATCCGAAGTGCGTCCGCTAATGAGGTAGACTATTACACTTCCCTGGCGAAGCGAGGCTCGTCCCCGTTTGGAACATTAATCTCGGTCACGATTACTTCTTTTTATAGCTATAACGATCCCAGAAATAACGTTCACGCGAACTGAAAGTACGCGAGCAAATTCATATGTGAAAGTACTTTGCAAGGTGCAAATTAATACGTAGTTTAGACGAAAGCTACCGATAATTTTTAAAACAAACGCTATATAAAAAGAAATACGTTGAGAAAGATATAAAGAGAAATATTTTTCATCTCTATCACTAGTAGCAATATTGGGTCATAATCCATTTACGAGCGAATCGTAAAAATATATCAAAGTGCGAAATAAAATGAATTATATTTAGTTTAATCTAGTTCTAGTTATTAAAGATCTCAATAAAGTTATAAATGCTTACTTTGCTTTGCGTATCATAAAGACATGCAATATACGCTGTAAACTGTGTCTATATTTATTACGTGATCAGTGATGCGTATGTGTGCCTCCTCTTATAAAATATACAGGACGCACCCTCTGACTTATTAGTGATGTAATTCCGTCACGCGCTGCAGCGTCGAATTCGAGTTTGAGGCATGCGATGACGGAATTACGCTTCGCCGATTACTCCAATATAGCTGGGCACGAACTATCGCGGATGTACACAAATGAGGGTGCGGTTTTTGTTTGTAAGAATTTTTCTTTTACTTTGTTTCGATTAAACTACGTCTCTAGCTGACAAGTAAATTCGAATAAATAAATTCGAGATATTAGTTCAAGAGACAAGTTAAACGTCTAAAATTTTACTTCCGGGATGAAAAAAAAAGTAAAATGTCAAATAAATTCAGAACTTATACATAAAATAGCATAAATTCGTGTTATTTCTATCTTTTTAAAGATATAAATTGTTTATTAAAATTAAAAAAGATCTTTATTACTCTTGTTTGGTTAAATATTGTAATATCATATATTACCGGAATTTCTCTCTTCAATTAACTTATTTATTTCAAAAATTATATTACCTTAATATTAATGTGCATTTTCCGAATTTTTAATAACGCCCTTAGATTGTTTCTCCATATCATTTCACTTGACATGATATCATATAATGTACCTCTTGTATAATAGAATAGAATGATTATATATTACGAGGCCCACACATTCAATCCATTATGAACCGAACACTTTCTCCAGAATTATAAACCGGCTTGTATGTATTTCCTTATACATAAATGCATAAGAAAGCACAAAGAGTATTTTACAACTGGCGATTATTCCACTCCATCCCTGACGCTAAGAGTCTAGTATAAATGGCTGCAGCCTCAGCCTCTTACATTGAATAAGAAAAAAATGTAGTTTTTTTCAATCATCTTTGCTTCCTATTTTCTATTTGCGTGCAACGAGACTCGACCTTGCCGATAAAGTGAGCGGTGTTATGGCGGATAAAACCAGCAATTTTGTCGTGTTTATTTTATCCGCGACGTCGATGATGGTGCATCTCGTGGATCATAGTGTTTCCTGCTGCGACATTATTACACGCAGGGCCGGCTGTTGTGTTTCGCGCTCTTCTTATCATTAAAGAAGTTAATGAAACTACTCTCTGAGCACAGAATCAATATGTTAGGTTGCATATATACAGGACACTAAAGAACGAAAAAAAAGTACGCGCGTAAATTTTTATTATCTATTTAAAATCGAATTTTTTTCAGCAAAACTTTGATTATAAACCATCTTTTTTCTTACGCTTCCTCAGTTTTTAATATCAAATATTTTGATGTGAGATTAAGCATCGTATTAAAATTTCGTTTAAACAAAGTTTATTTAAAATTAAATAAAGAAATGAGGATTTGGTATATCTACAAAGATTATTTCTATTTATTTTCTACATCGTTTATTTTGCTTGTGATTCAGAAAGCAAAATATATCCAGATCTATATATTTATATTAGATTTTGAATCCTCAATATTTCTCATAAATGGTATTTTTTTTTATAAATAAGTAAAAGTAACATTTTCGAGGGGCAAAACACATCTCACAAGTTTATGATAGTTGAAAGATACAGACTTAAAGAGGCAGTGTTTCTCGAAGAACGGGAGACTTGCTTGAGAGATCGGCCCTATCTGTAAGATTATGGGCAGTAACTTAACGAAATTGGCATCTTAAGTGTTTCCAATCGTGGTTTCACCGGTAATCGATCTAACGACTTAATATCACGCGAATGGTATCAAGGCCGTAGTTAATTATTATCTCGTATACAGAAAATGCATCGTTGACTAGTCAAAAAAAAATTTGTAAAGAAAAATTGCCGGCGTTTGTCATCAATTATACATAATCCATTTTGGCAAGATAAAAGGGAGCAAGATATATATATCTATATACAGGCTTTTGTATTAGTTTTCGCGTTTCTCAAAAAATACAAATAAATAATATCAACAAAATATAACTATGTAGATATTTTTGCATAATCGACAAAGAAATTCGAAGTACAATTTGTAAAACATCTTTAGAAATTAAAATATAAAATTATTAATATAATTAATTAATTTCGTTTTCTTACTTTATTTTATATTATTTCTCATATATTTTATTTAATTTTATTGCATTTAGTTTATAATTCTTTATTTTTGCTTTTGCCAAGTGCATTCTTTCTCTTAAACTGTATTCTTTTTAAATGCACTAAACGTGTTTTCCGCGCATTCCATAAACTTCCGCCATTGATAATGGAGGTTGTTATAAATGTAATCTGTTATAATCTTTTTGCAAGTCCAACGTTTCTATCATGCCGCATTTATCGCAGGGTGTACTCATTTTTCTCAGAAATTATAATGCTCCGTCGTAAAGCCCGCATCCCGCTGTTTTAACGCAACTCAAGTCGGAGCGGATTATCGATCACAATCAGTTTGTCATTCATATGCAATTTATCTGTCGCGATTTATCTGTTTGTACAACAAGTTATTCATAGCATGTTTTATTACATAGGCAAAATTTTGCTACATACGTTTGTAATCGAGATTCTAATTTTATTTTATTCAAATTAACTTAATAAAGGCTCTTATGAATATATCATACGAAGGAGATAAAAGGCAATCAAGAGACAGTGTGATAATTTATGCGCATATATTTTATTACAATCAAATTACCTACATTGATGTTTAAAAAACGCTTAATTTCTGAAATCGTATATATTAAAAAGCAAGAAAATAGTCTTAATTTACAGACGGGCACGGAATGTTTATATTATGTTTATATACGTGATCGACAAGTTACCAAAACTTTAAAAGTCATGCCGTCTTATTTGTAAACATTCCTCTGTATTCATACTGTATTTTTACTTTATATATCGTGCGATATAAAGAGACTTGACATTCTGTCTCGAACATCCGTGTGTAACATTTGCCTTCTATACAACATGAATAACTTACTCAAGTTCGGTATAATTATATTGCCAGTTATTTTTTAATGTAGTATATTTTATCGGACAGTCTCTTTCTGTCTCGAAATTATATTATATAACATTTACCACTTTTTATCTCCTTCGTATGATTTATTTTATCCCATAGAGAAATTTTTGCCAAATATATACATTTGTAATCGAGATTCTGATCGATAAAACACTGGCAAAACTTCTGTGAACTCGAGTTTTATTAACCGGAACGTATTTTTTGGCATTCTTATATCGACCGAAACATTGCGGTACGTTCCGGTCCACTTCGAGCGCTGCCCTAATGTGGTCGTACAACTAGAGAGAGAATCGCCGTAGGCACTCCACAGCACACATCGGTGCATCCTTCTAGCCTTAAATCCTTGAAGCCTAGCATTACGAACGGCATGCCTAAGCGTGGCCGCACAAACGCACCCTTTTCTTATTGGAATATTTGCGCACGTACATATATCAATTATTCATGATCGGAATGATATAAGTCATAAACTGTAAATAGAACTGCATCAATCTGCCGTAACTCTTTCAAAGTTGTAGGAATTTTTTAAGAATTGATAGCAACTCTGATTTATTCATTACCTCTCTCGTTAAATTATACGACGATTAATTCTCTCTTCTCTTCTTTAACAATTTTTTTTTCTATAAGAAATAAAAACAATAAAAAAGTAAAAATTCGAAATAATGTTGTTTCTAAAATAACTACTTCAACTTTTAATCGCTTAATCGTTTGGTTAATAAGAGGAGTGTTGATTTTCGCACTTGATTGCGGTACAATTTGTGATCCTCCGTTCCCAAGAAACGCGACACAAAGGCACAGTCGGGGCCCGCGCGCGGTCTTAACTCGGGGAAAATACCTGACAATTATCTACTCGTCTCGCTATCTTGAACCAAACCGCTCCATCCGGCAAGGTCCTGCGCGTTCTGTCCATTACTTGATATTACGAACCCACGTTATAATAATAACGAGACACGAGAGTCATTTTATTCGAAAATTAAATGCACGAATTATACCTGACCGTACCTGGTCCCTCGTCGCAAAGCGACCGTTAGTGAAGAAATTAAGAGCTTCATCTAGATTAGGGCCAGTTAAACAGGCAATTTTAAAACGCACGTACACAGTCATGTTTATGTATAATAGAATGAAAAATTTCGAATTAAAAAATTGTGAAAAGTATTTTTTCTCTTTATTTCTAAATTATCTAATATACATACATTATCGTATATATTAAATTGAACGGACAGTTCGTTCCGTTTTTTACTAAAAGATAAAGACCAAAAAAACGGCACGAACCGTTCAACCCAATACAATAACTTTGATCTCATTTGAAAGATAATTTAATTCTCTACAACTTTTGTTTCAGTACTTTTTGTTTTTGAAACCTCAAAAATATATACGATAATATATGTATAGTTAGATAATATAGAAATAAAGAGAGAAAATACTTTTGTAATTATTACAAATCTCAAAAATATAAATTGTAATAAAAAAATATAAAACGTAAATTAAAAAATATGAAATGTAAATTTGTTTAGGGGGATAATTGACAATTAGAAGATACTTAATTTTCCGTCTGTGTTGGTCGATATTTACATCATACTTTTCGAAGTCAAACGCGGATACGATTGCATAATTTGCTGATGGAACATAGTGTTCTCGAGTGAGTAGCCACGGCGCCGCCACGTGTGAATGTACACATGTATGTACATACAACTACGTACGCGCGCACGAGCGAATATCCACTTGCGTCTAACTCGCGCGAAACCGGTATTTGCGCCTTTCAGAGTAAATCTTTATATACAGGGATACTCACACAGAGGATACAGGGTGCTCCAACAAGCTGTATAATCTGCATCAATCACGAAACTTTCTGAATACAGATACTGAAACGTTACAGATACGAACTTTCTGAGATGGCACTATATAATGTAAGGACTCAGAAATACATTACGAAATTTTTAAACAAAATTTTAAACCAAACTTTAACGATTATTTAACGTTTAAATAAATTTAAATAAAAAAAAAAATTTGTTCCAATTTTTAACGAAGAGTCTTACTCCTTATCGAACGTTCTTATTATTCTGTAAACAGCTTATATAATCAACAAGGAGGTTCGATTTCTGCGATCATTATACGCTATTACTACTTATGTTAGAGAGACTCCATAAGGATACTTACCGGCCATATACGCTTATCCGAAAGGCGTTGTTTGCGAAAGTAATCCTTAATCCGTGTCAAAATGTCGGAGATAGTTCGTCTTTTACAAAATTCACTGCCAAGTTAAGCACACAAGCCGCACATCACTTCTTATAGCACTCCGAAGAAGCTATCGCACAAAGACTCGATCACGTAGCTCGAAGATCGAGTACCAGGTATAGCGGATCATCGTCAGTGTAATGATATTCAGTTCAACAGGATTTACTGTATAACGAGATTATTTATCACGGTGAAATCTACATCGGAAATCAGAATTTTTTTTAGATCTACGCCACAGATTGTCAAATTTTATATAGTATAAACGTGTATGTATATATTCCTGATCAGTTTTAAAGAAATAATTATATCGATTTAACAAATTAGTTTTACATTCTTTATAATATTAAAGTATATTTCTTTCTTGATTAAAAAACTATCTATCTTTCTAAAAATGTATATTTTACATGTTTTTATTCGTAAATTATCGGAATTTATTTGTACATAGATTAGATATATTCGATCGATCAAATTTCCAACAAGCAAGGAGTACGGCAGGAGATTTCGATGCTCGCACGTGTCGCAGGAGATTTCGATGCTCGCATATGCAAGTCGGCCGTATTAATTGCAGATTATATATTGTTAAGTATTTTGTAAAATCGGATTTTTTAGCAAAAATTTAATTTTTCGCGATTATCATTTTCATCAATCTAATTTTTCACCCGTTTATTCAGACAATTAAATTTGATTTTAATTAAATGTGTTTAGATGTCTTTCGAGAATGTGTAGGTATAATAAAAAATGATGAATACTTTATTATATAATATATATTATATACGATATGCGCGTAATAAAATCTCATGTGTTGATAACGGTTTTATGCCGCGAGCAATAGTAATGCGTAATTTGCAATTTTTGGAATATATCTTGTTGAAACTCCTTGATTTTTCAATTTTACGATCATTAAATACTTATTTACACAGCAAAGCTTAAAATATATAAAAGATTAAAATCTTTTAGACGTTTACCTGAATAATTGTTGTAGCGGATAGTTCTTGAACTTTAAAATATCGTTGAATAAAGCGTGAACCAGAATGATATAATAAGTAGCTGATTTGCAATCTTTTAAAAAATCCACAAAATTGTAAATTCAATAAAATAACTCTAATAAAAAATAATAATTTTTAATACAATAGGAACTACAATAAATTGAGATCTGTAATTAATTAGTTTCAAATCTAATGAGTATTGTCAAAACCGTATTTTTTAATCTACAAAGTCTCTTTTACTTTCTTGAAAAATTTCAAAATGGTTGGCGACACAACCGATGTTCCGTGGATGGTACACGCGCGCTTCAATCACATAATATTTCTTCACAATGGCAACAATTGTTCTCGGGAAATAATATATTTAGACTTGAAACTTTGGGAAGTTTTTCAATAATTACAATCACACGATTTTTTAACTATTCTTAATCATTTTCGATCACTCTTCCCATCTTTTTCCTCAAATTCCCGACATTTCCAATGCAGAATCACGGAATGAACCACTTGAAATTTTCCACGAGCACATCCGCGATTTAATTCATTTTTTTCACTTTTAACAGCATATTCCGAATTTGCGATGTATATCGCTGCTTGTCGACATGACTAATTTGTGCATGTTCCAGAGGACGTGTTCCCTCGACCGGAAGACTCGAAAGGCGGCCGCATCGAGACTGGTCGCATCGGGAGAAAGCTACGAATTGTAAGCGGTTCTCCAGGAACCCACGCCAGTACCGGCACAATCCATCGACGCGATAAAATTCGGAGTTAAAAGAATGGAGCAGAGAGAGTAACGCTGTTTAAAAAATCCGATAAGAGTCTTACGTTTCTACTAATATAAAAAGATATGTTTCTTTAAGTCTTTAATATTTTAGTTAAATATTTATTCTTTCTCTTTCTACATAACTTATGAATTCTATTCAATTAATAGATAACATGGGATGTTGATATATACATATAAATCTATATTTTAATTTTATCTTGAAAAATATATATTTTTCTATATTTGTATAAAACTATACATGTAAGAGACATAAAATATGTCGCATCTTTCTTATTGCTTGAAGATACAATTCATAATTTAAATAAACGCGATAAGAGTTTTAATTTCCGTTCTCACAACACACATAATTACTGCTTTTCATAAGAACAAACTGATATTAACAAGCATGTGCAATCCTTCACTGGATAAAATTCGTGGATCATAATCCACGAAACAAGAGATTATATAATATTTAAAAATCTAAATGTCTCATTTGGATCCAATAAGGGCAACTTAAAACTCGTTATCCGGCACTGTCCCCTACTGTCGGAGCAATGTCATCCCTTCCCTCATCATTCCGCTACGATAACCGGACTACCCGACTATTATGAATCTGTTTTGTATCAGCCAACGGCGTAGTTAATGATAGCGTTTGAGCCAAAATATCCTTATTAATAAAAAAAAGGCTGTTTGTCATATTTCGAAATTTTGCGAAAAAGAACTGTCAAGTAATCAATTCTCGGAGAAATTTGATACACAATGAAATTGTATCAATTCGTGCGAAGTTGATTGCAAAGAAGTAATCAGCAAAAAATCGTTGATTCAAAAAAATGAAATGCTGCAAATATCACAAAAACAATCACAAAGCAACGAAAGTTGCTTTGATCGGTTCGTTATGTCGTCAAAATAAAAAAATATTTAAAAAATCTAAAAAAAATTTTAAGTAAAAAATCTTGTAAAATCAAAAAAGAAAATGTCCGCCATTCTAAATTCAAATTTTTATCAAAATTACGGTGTAACATAATAAATTCTCCACAAAGCACAGAAAAGAGGTATACTAATATAAATCTCTTTGCCTTTTTACATTTTGATATTTAAGTTAATACTATTTATATTAATATAATTATTTTTATTAATTTAAATAATATCATATATATATATATATATATACATGAGTTAAAAATGGTTTCAAGTGTATTGATTCTGATACTCGAAAAAACATTGAAAAAAATATACATAACGAATAGTCTAAATAATAATAAATAATTCAATTAATAAAATACATAACAAGTAGTCTAAATAATAATAAATAATTCAGTTAATAAAATACAAATAATATTTTCTCTATAAGGAAAATATACATAATTAATTTCAATATTAATTTTAGTAGATATTGCTCATTAAAAAAATTTAAACAGGGTCACAAAATGCAGCAGGGAATAAAATGCAACTAAATTGAAAGATGTGATAATTCTGCAAATTTTGCAAATCATGTAAGCTTGTTACTTTGAAGGCTTAATTCTCGAATTAATCTGGAGCAAAATTAATTAAAGATGTCAAGAATCTTTTACACTAAAATTAATGGCAAATTTGTAAAGGTAGGTGAAATAGATGATTTATAAAAAGATCACATTCTTCAAGAGAAATTCCCAAAACAACTTTCAAATAATCATTGTCTTATCATCAAAGAAAAATATACGTTTTTAGACAATTTGTATAATCGAAGCTTTATAAAAATTTCACTAATAGTCTCTCTTAATTCTCAAAAATAATTGATTTATTAACTTCTTTTATTTTGTTATTATTTTTGTAAAATTTTATCAATAAGAAATTTTTATTTTCTCTTTTTATTATCGTATTCTTTGTTTCCTATATCTTTTTCTGTCTAAATGCTAGTATATTTTTCATTTGTATGGTATTTTATATTTCATTTTTTAACAGAACTCGAACTTCCACAAATCGAAATCAAAATTGCAATTCCAAAGATAGCACTTCATCCATTTAATACAACTTTTGAAAAAATGGCCGAGGCTCAAAAAATTTGCGATAGAGAAATGCACGGAATTCGATCATCCAATTGTTACTTTAATCGCATAAATAAAGATAAGATTGACAGAATTAAACGAGCGGAGAACATTATACAAGACCTGGAATGCCATGGGCCAGCTGGTTTAATACATATCTGTGTCTTAAGTAATATAATTGGAAAACCCATCCAGATATGGAACCCTAACGGTAGTTTAAATAGAATCATCGGTAATGGAAAAACGGGACGTCCCATAGACATCGAATATCATGTAACCGATTCAGAACAGATAGGTCAGTTCTTAGCTAAAGAGTTTCAAACAAAAGTAGATAAAGGCAATTTATAAGATCCATATTTGCGTTATTCTATTTTAAAATGATTAATTTTATAATCCACTTAGTACAAATTCAGAAAGCGTTAAAAATAAAAGAAATAAAAAAATGTGGAGAAAAGCATTCCGCGCAATCAAGACTTTTGAAAACCGATATTTCACTCTTGTTTGTAATCCTATCCACAATTTCCATCCCATCCACTTCCTTAATCCTTCTCTAGGACATTGGACTCTGAAATACGGGAAAGATCCCGATAACATCTCTATCGATTTGAATAGCTGTCTCTTTTCGGTGATCGGCTCTCAAATCGAGCGAGATCCATCGGAACTTCGTAAATGGACGGTGCTAAGGCTAAAGAGCAAATTTCGGAAGTTGGTCAATCTGATAAACGAAATCCTAAGATTGCAGAAAAATGGCGAGATAATCTTGATGATTGGTGGGGCTCGTTATTGCGGTACCTCACCCAAGCATGCCAGGATTATCTTAGACAATTCGCAGGATCATAAATGCTACGGATTTCCGAATCCGGGCCATCCCAGAGGACACGCATATCATCCTTCTGGTTTTAGCATCGTGGATTATTCTCTAACCGGTATGAAGACAGGTTTTCCAACACGAGCTGATCAAGACTATGTTACCCATTTGGCCTTGAGAACACAGAAAGCTCAAAATGCGATGGATGAACTCAATAACGGTCGAATTACAGTAGGTATAACCGTAACTCCTAACGAATTAGGAAATTCGAGAAATTTGCCCAGAGTGATAAAATATTCTAATGGAGTAGAGTTAACAGGAGGCGTCATGCAAGATGTAGTTTTAGTATTAAGGCATCACGAAGGCCAATACAAAAACCCGGACGCGGATGTTTTCGTGCACACTTGTTATCCCACATTGGCATAACTTAAAAAAATATAAATAAGTCGAAATATATACAGAGTAATTGTTTATTTCGTAGAGAAATTGAATTTACAACAGACTTATTTATTTTAATTGCATTTCCTGCACTTTATTTTTTTCCATTTGTCTATTCTCAAATATTATACATTTCTGTTCCAATCACGGAAATTGCAAGAAAGTGCAACTAAATGACGCAAATTTTATGTTTGTCTTGAATATGCTTTTAATCGCAGAAGGATCCTAAATAATAGAAATTTGTAATGAGTAACGTTCTCTGTTGAATTGTCGAAGCTATTCAGTAGATTTTCAATTATACTAATAATAGTTCCAATTTCCGTCTCACAAACGTCCTCGTCGCGGTGAATAATTTCGTGCAGCCAAGGAAGTATACCGTATCCTCGTGCGAGGAGCAAGGCTGCCTTGGGAATTTTGGTAGTAGAGGCGATCACTTCCAAGATCAGTTTCTGAGAAAAAAAAGTCAAAAAATAATATGACTTTATTGATATTAATATTTAAATCGAAGATTCATTTGCAATAAGGAATCTTTCTTAGAATCAAATCTGCTCAATTATCTTTTTAATACACAAAACAGTATGTGAATTAGATCTCGAATATTTCTTGATTATATCATGATTAAAGTTAATACATGGAATGTATGCCAAGCAGCGAATTGTTTTCAGCTCACCTTAGTCTTGGTGTCTGATAGTATGCAAATGTAAAAATCTAGAAGCATCCTGAACAATACGCATTTCAGAGCTATATCTACATCGCTCTCCTTTCTCATGCCGTCCCGAATGTTCTCTAGGATCCAGTGCCGATGCGCATGGTGCTCTACGTGTGAACTGTGCAATAACTGCAACAGTTCTGGTATGGTGTTTAAATCCAACGCAGGTTTGGCCATTAGGAAGGTATGCAATGCCGAGTAAAGCGGATGCAGAGATTGACCGGCGATCAACGAAGCCCTGGCGAGGAAGGTGGTCACCAGGCAACTCAGTCGAACATTCTTTAATGGACACTTTAGGAATATGATGCCATTTCGTAAAGCATCGATCAGACGCATCCATAATAATTTCTCTTTCGATCTGATAAATAGAAAAATTTAGATTACAAATTAAGGAAAACTGCAATAATTCTCGTTTATTCAAATTTATTGAGGATTTGAAAAGTATTTCTAATATGCAATAATTTATGCAATAATTTATCGTTACATATATATATGTGTAACGATAAATAAAAGATAATATAATTTAATATTGAAAGGAATTATAATATGCAATAATTTATGCAATAATTTCGTTACATATATATATATGTGTAACGATAAATAAAAGATAATATAATTTAATATAATATAATTTTCAAAAAATCAAATAACCTTTTGTACTATAACTTCAAAGATACATTTCTCATAAAAGTATAGAAACATAAAAAAATTAATTAAAAAGTGCTAAAAAACTAGATAAAAACTGAGTTTAAAACTTGAAAAATTAAAATATGTAATTAAAAATAAATAATTTTAATGTACATGTATTATAACACACAAACATGAGCTAAATTAAATTATAAGCGATAATTTTTCTACATTATAGGCCATTTTGAAATTTCTCATTATATTATGTAATCTGCTATTTGTTAAAATTGCTATCATACTTAGATACTTCCAAGTGGAAATAATATCTAGAAATGATGGTGTATGCTGCCAACCGAATATCACTCGAATCGCTACAGCACGCGACAAATACCAATGCTAATATGCCGCTCTGATTTATTTTGTGACATGCAATGACGTTGTTTTCCGCTAATAAAGAACACAGCAACGGCAGATAAAATGCTGGATCGTATACTTTGCTGTTGTCATGTATCTCATCAGCCTGCAGAAAAAAAAGGGAATAAAATGGTTAATTTGTTATCTCCCAGGATAAATGACAAAAAATCTATATAGTATAGAGTATCGAAAAGAACATTATACTGGCTTACTTCCAACGTTCTATATATGGGATAATTTCTTATAGTCTCGTTGATAATATCCTTATCGAACAAGTTAAAAACCTCGGAAGTGGAAGGTTGTCTCCAAAGGACAGTATCTGTCTCTCCCTTTACACTGTAACGCGTTGCCGCCGCGTTTCCCCATAAATATGGCCAGTATTGTTGAAGTTTAACGCCATGAGCCTCATAATACCGAAGAATCTGAAATAATTGAATGATATCGTGATTCTAATGTTTGATGATACAATGACATTGATATATTACCTTCAAAATGCGCTGATCGGCATTGTTGAGAGTGGCGTTGTAAGCCGCGAGATAAAGAGGCACGTGCGAGGTAGTTATCACCGATTGATTCTTTCGAATGAGTATCCTGAGTAATTCGACCAGATTGTCTGTAGTTTTATAAAATATTCAAAGGAATTAAAATTCTTTATCTAATAAAATGTTCCTTGCACTTCAATGCTTCATAGCGTCGCAAATCAAAAGCAATTTTAACGAACGATGAAAATTAATCGCGAGTGGATATTATCGTAAAATATAAAACTATCCATCAGATAAGCATTTTTTATTCTTTCTTATATTTCTTCTCGAGTGACAAAAATCATTGATAAAATCATTAAATTTACCTTTAACAGTGGACGAACCGAGCATAACGTTAACAAACTCTGAATGAGACGTCGTCATTTCGAATAAGGTCTTCACATATTCGTCATTCTCGTTATCTTCGTACGCGATATCGCATAAATTGCTCAAATTCTTCAATATATTCGATTGAATCTCGTCATCCTTAGCATCTTTCAAACCTAATTTTAAGGAGAATCTGGTAAATTGCGGCCACGAGTAACTTTTGCTTAGTAAACTGAAGATGAAGTCGCATTTAATTTTCTTTAAACAAACCACTGTATTGTTAAGCTTCTCGCATAATACTTTGATCTTTTCTATGTTCTTTGACTCCTTCTTCAGCGTTGAGGTCATTACATGCAATAATATCAATATCAGATCGGTTAAAGGCTTTTCTTTGACCGTTATCAGATTTTCATATCTCCTGTACAGACTTTCCAACAACTGCACGAAATAAATGGACACCATGTCCAATTTATCGCCGTTTTGGGAAATACTGTCACAAGTTTTCTCACATAAAGGACGATCGAAAGTGTTCTCGATGAGATAGGCGATTGCTGCTGCGTTTTCTTCGATCCAGGAAACAGGATTTTGTGGCTCAGTTAGATATGCAGCAATATCACCGCCATAACATTTGTAAAGACTTTGAAGAAATCTTTCGGTCCACTTGTATTTTAGGTTGCTACCCAATATTGGAAATACGATATCTCCTTGCTTCACATTCTCCATCTTGAGAAGATATTTCATCAGTGATGGAATTAGTCTGGTATTTTTAATGATTAAGATCGCTATCAATTGAATCGTAGATGCAGTAATGCCCTTCGTTAACAATAATGCAAAAGTGTCAGTACTGATACCAGCAATATTATGTGGGAAGGTGGACAAGTATTTTGTCAAAGCTTGTTCCCATTTTTCTACGCATTGTATTTTATTAGATTTCAGATGCACCAGGTATAGGCTCAATCTTTCTATAAACTGTTCGTTCAATGCATTACATTGATAACACTGCAATATTGACTGCTCACTGCAATACATATCCAACAATATTGGAACAATATGTCCGAATACAGACAGATTTCGTTTATCATTTGAGATAAATACAATTTTCTCCAGTTTCGTCAAAGCAAGTAGCAAACTCGCAATATCTTGCGCCTTCAACTGCAATACTTTCAATAATGCTATGTCATAATTATTACTGCAAGTTTCCAAAGGAACTTTTTCAATAATGTTTTCCAATTGAGCAAGGAATTTATTTCTAAATGCGAAGAAGATATTATAGGCTTCTACACCATCATGTTTCTCGAAAAAAGACACAACTTCACAGAGCTCTAGAATAGTTCGAGTTATCATATCTTCGGTCGAATCTTTGAATGCTTCTCCACAAAATGGCGAGAAATAATGCAACAGAATAGGATGCGTAAAGATACATTTTATGTTTTCTTCGAGTATCTCCACGCTTTTTAAATTCATAGATTTTGCAATATTTAATAGAGAAATAAGCAAGATTTTGCAGTTTTCGTTTTGGATCTGTTGTAAGATTCTTCCCTGAGCTAACTGTGCTAAATAAAACACAGTCATCCTTAGCAAAGCCTTGATATCATACAAAGACAAAGAGTGTTTAATAATGATTTCTTTGTTGCCATATTTAAAACAGCATAAGTGATCATTGCCAGACAGCTTGAAAAAATTAGTTATGTCTACCTCGGAATTCATTAGCAACATATTGCTCAATTTATGCCATAACTTCAAAGATGAAAGCTTATTTTTTAAGGCAACTGGTCGCTCGTTACTCGACCAACTTTTTAAGTATTTATAGATCGGCAAATCGGTCATATCTATCGCTATATGAACCAATACATCCGGAACAATCTGATAATGTAGAGTGTGAATTGTCACATAAGATAAATAATTCAAGACGACAGTGGAATAATTTCTTGCTCTGATCTTTTCAAAAGCGCAGCATAAGAGCGGCGACACCAACGTACAAGCTTGCATTTTACAAGGGTTAAGATTTTCTTTGCTAAACTTGTTGAAGGGATGATTGATCACATCATCAGTGATTTTATCAAAATTAGTAAGGTCGTTAATTGAAGTTGTCACTGATGCAGAGAAAACTTTATTCAAAGGGAGAGAGTGGCCATTAGTATTAGAAAGAAAGCTAATGGAATTGACCTTCTCAAGTAACCGATTGATCTCATTTTCGATCTTCTTCACTTCTTCAAAATTAGTCATTTGCTCATTCCTCTGCATTATGTATTTATCATTATGTTTAATGGCAACTTTCGAGTTTCCTTCGTTGAGTTTATTGAAGCTATAATTAATTATATTATCTCTCTTTACATCAAAATTTAATTTTCCATTAATTAAAGATGATTCTACTCCAAATTCTTCTTTACAAGGATTTGGGTTATTATTGGCTTTATCAAATAACTCATTAATTATATCTTCTGCTTTTACATCGAGACTAGCCACCTGGTCGTTTAATGTTTCTTCTGCTTGCGTTATGTTGTTTATATATTTATCAGTGTGTCTGGTGCAACTTTTTAAAACGGACATAAACCAGTGTGTCAATTCCTCCTTCTCTTTAGAATCGATTATTATCAAGAAACCATTAATCCAAATATCCAGCTCGTCATCACAGGTTTCAAACAGGCCTGTCGCGTTTAGTAACATTCTAGTAGTATCATAACTTTCTGGTGATACTGTTTGATGAATCTGAGATAACAAAAAGGGAAGAGCTTCTTTGAAAGCTTTCTCTCTAGGTGCGAAGATGGAAGAGTCCAAGGCGAGCAGAAATTGTATTGCTTTCACCTTCATGCAGTTTACTTTTGTTAATTTGGCTCCTCCATCCTCTTCTTCACCATCCTGGAGATTATTTAAGCTTGATAGAAGTACATTTGGCTGCAAATTCATTGAATTATCTAGCAATTCTGGGCATATATCTTTGTACGAATGAAGAACGTTCAAGATGACATCGAGATGATCTAACAAATCGGGATTGTGAATATTTTCAGTGTTTTCCGAATTTATCATATTAGCATCAACTTCAAAGGCTTGGTTCCATACTTTTATGATCATTTCCAAGTTGGGAATAATCCTCAAAATAAAATCCGTTATCTGGTTTTGAACTATGAACGTCTTGTGGAAGTCTTTTAAGGTAGAGCAAATGATTTTCAACTGAGATGTCATTGCTAGAAGAAGAGACAAGATCTCATGTCTGACAAGCAGACTGCTGTGACTTAATCCTGGCAAGATAGCGCTTTTTATAATTATATCCGGAACTGTCAAAGACAATAGCGTGTTTATCAATCTATTTACATTTAATTCCATAGTACAAGTCTTGATGCAACTGACTGGATCGAGCGATTCGATTATCTACGAAAAGAAAACTTAGTAAATCAAAATGAAAAAATAATGTGCAAAGTTACAATTCGTATGTACAGGTATCTCACTCCACCTTTTTTACAAATCTGAGAAGACAAATCCATTTGGGCGACACACGGGGTTCGAGAAACGGTTCAATGACACCATATTGCGAACGTATTAAATCCGGGCAAGCCCCCATTATTTTGATAACTAAGTCCGACGGCTTTTCATGTTCCCAAGGTTTCTCCAGATTCTGAAGAACTGTATGCACCAGCTGATTGTGCTTATTTTGTGAACCACCCAATGTTCGATCGTGGAAAATAATTCCATAACGATGTGATGTCAGTAGGGTAATTAAAAATGCATGAACTGCATCATTAACGATCTAGATTATAACAGAAAAAATAAAGAAAAAAAGAATATTTGATATTTTCGAAATATAAAATATCATATAAAGATTACCATAATTACCTCTTTGTCTGCTAGAAAGTCATCGCTCTCATCAGGATAGCGAGTTTTATTTTTGGGCCATTTGGTTGGGCCTTTCCAGTTATACAGCGATATTAAATTGAGTACAACAGATGTAGAGAATACATGTAGTTTTATTGTTTTGGTGATGCTAGTGTTCTCCAAAACATATGTCTTCACAGTGGTCAGAATCAGAGTAACAATGTCCTTGGAATCATACAACAAATCTGAGAAGATGCAGGACAGTAAACTACGCTTATCCAACAATGTTTTAATCACTGATGAATCTCTCTCCACAAGAAAAGCAAGAATAAAATGGATGAAACATGTTCTGACATTTTGAGGATCCGTGGGCTTGTTGTGTTGTGTTAGATTCTCTAATACATTTCGTTGCAGTGATAGATGTGCAAGTAACTCTCTGGATAAACTATTATCCAATGACACTACCGCTGTGAGCAGTTTCAATACCACTTTACGCTGCTTGATATTGCTTTGAATTGAAAGCATTGAATGTATAATAGACATGTATGAATTCAACAAGTGACGACATGCTTCCACTGCATTATTCTGGTATTGAGGATATTCTGCCAATATCCTATAAACAAAAAGATATGTCTGATTAATTAAAAGAAAAAAAAAGAAAGAAGATATCAAGTATTCATAGACACAAAAGATATATAAACATACTTCATGAGTAAGATGTTAATTGCAGAAAAAACGGTGATGGCATTAATAGTATTTTTTTTGTCAGAGAACTCTAATAGTCTCAGAACTTCGAGAACACCACCACCAGCGAGCAAGTACTCCGCTGCAAGGTCCCTTTCCTTGTCCTCGTTGCATATCGTTACGAACTTTCTCAGAGCGTCTAAGCCGCCAGATGAGGAGAGAAGTACTCTCAGAGATCGTCCGTTAAATTCGTCCCATTTCTCGCAAGTAATATTTTTTGTGTCGTTTTCTTCTGAATCTACATCACATTTAAGTTCTTCCTCGATAAACCCATTGATTCTCGCCTTTTTCGTCGGCGTTTCATTCTTATTCTGCGAGATTCGCTTGCTCGCTTTTCTCGGCTTGAGGGCCGCATCATCCATTACCGCGTGTTTATTCGCACATGTATCATATGGGTGCTGCCATATTTTCTAGCCATAAACCTTAGCTTAGAATGATATTAGATGTATCGTGCGTCCAAGTGTATCGGACATATCTGATTGGTTATTGAATAAAAAATTTTTAGGGGGTTTCCAAAGTTTCTTGCAATGACAGCCAATCAGTACATCTGATAAAACTCGTTAAGCCCGTTCTACATTGATCGCATGTCGCCAGTCGCAAGCAAATCGACCAATCACAGTCGATTATTCCGTCGAATATTCGACTGTGATTGGTCGATTTGCTTGCGACTGGCGACATGCGATCAATGTAGAACGGGCTTTATGCGATACATGTAAATAGCATCCAGGATGATGTCAATCCGGTGGCACCGGACCGGTGCTTCAATTGTGCTTTAGCTCGAACAAACATAACCAAATAGAATAAAAAAGATAAATAAAATAGATAAAATGGAAAAGAGAATAAAAAAATATTCAGTTTATTATTAATAATTAATTGTTGAAGGATCATATGTTATTCGAAAGTGTTCAATTGGAAACATGGATAACACTGAATTATTATTCTTCGATACATTTTCCCACGACATTTCAGAGGTTTGTTTTTTTATTACATAGATTTAATAGGATTAAATATAAAATAAAGCTTTAAAAAAACAAGAGGAAAAAAGCTACCTATCCGAATGATTAATAAAAAATTACTTTTCCAGAGTTAAAATTTTCAAAATTAAAAAGTCCAAATATTTACTAAAAATGATATTATTTGTATATTATATATTATAATCTTGCTTTCCTTTTAGAAAAGTATAGTATTAAATTTACAGTATTGAAAAGAGAGAGAATTTCCAGACTGTATTTAATTATGATAATTTTCCTAAAAGAAAAACATGTAACATAAATGACTTTTATAATTTTTCCTACTTTAGAAAAAATTGTTTTCAACACTTGTGAAATCTCATTTTTCTCTCTTACTTGCAGGAATTAAATTTGGATTTGGTACAATTTCCCAAACCTGTTTATATCAGCGAAGTGAGAATAATTCCATTGGGTGCACGAGTGCAAGCGGACTTCCCAGGAGGTGTGCGACTTGGGTAAGTAACGCTTTATTTTTTATATTGATTACCATAAAAACTTTCTTGGTTACATGATATTAGTGTTCCAATCTCTGAAGAGGAAACTTGTTACCTTTCCAGAGCAACCAATCCCTCTCAATTTGAAATTGAGTTCTTTGTGAACGATCTCAGTAAACCTGGAGCTTCCACGTTTGAGTTTTTGGGAAATTTAGAATACAAACAAAATATCCATATTCAATTGGAATGTGAACGGAAACAGATACCAACCGATGGTTTGGTATTAAGAGGATGGTATACCACTATAACACTAGCAGTGTATGGTACATTGACTAAATCACTGAACAATCCTCAGGAAATCATAAGTTCAGCAGCTGGATCCACTGCTTGTGTTAGTGCACACGAAGAAAATACTGAGAACACAGCGCAGGTTTCCTCTGAACAACAATCTGAATGGTACTATGAGAATCAGCATCAAACAAATTCATTGGTAAAGACACCTGCTTAGTATTGTTGTAATAATGGAATTCATTCTAAAGAAATTTTCTAGACAAAAATCATCTAAAGGATATCGAGAAGACGCATCTTAAAGATGTACTTTAGATGTCTTTTAGATGTCTTATTTTAATTCAATATATATTTAATCTCTTATTTAAGCTTACTGTATTATCACAGGAAACATGCATAACCGCGACTCCACCGCCTCCGGTTCAACCAATACAAGTAGTAGAACCATCCAGAACATCCACATCAGATACTGGAAAGACAGAATCGGTACAATGGGAAGAAGAGACGTCTAACGCGGGCGAAAAGACCTCAAAACGACCTTCGTCTCCTCCTACCGAATCTCTAATCTCCCTCAGCCCCGAATCTATTTCCGCTGAGGAAGAGGAGGCAGAGCAACAGGAAGCTGGCGAACAGGAAACTGGCGAGCCCTTTGAGCCTATATTATCGGACGAAGATATAATGACTGATGATGTTCCGCCTGCAGTCGAATTCGAATGCGAAACCTCGCAGATCGACGAGATTTATACGCTGATACCACCAGATTTGTTGAATTTGGAAAAATTAAGCAATTTGGAGGACATCTGCATGAACCGCGAAACCATGTCGAAGATCAAAGAGATTCTCCAACCCTTGTCAAAGTCGGTTTTGCATTTCCACAACGTATCGGGTCAAGAGAAGGAAACGTTTGTTCACAACTGCGAAACTTTGTGCGCCATATTAAGTCCATTTGACTTCAACGCAGACGATATCGATAACTTAACTAGTATCGTCAATGCCGGCCTGGATATGGAGCTCGCTAGAGCTCAACCGCAACCGGCATATAAAGTACGTCATGTGAAAGTAGGAGTTCGTTTGGCGGAAGCACTCTGTCGATTATCGAAGGGTCCGGAGATCCTACTAAAGGTCGAAGCTCCGTCCAAATTATTGTCTCTTTGTATGCGCGAAAATGTGGCTTTGCCGGTGAAACTTTCTGCTCTGCGAGCTCTCGATGCCGCGCTGATCAGTCCGGTAATCGTACAAGAGTTTCTAAACTCGAGGAACAATCTGTACAGCGAGGCGTTGACGATGTTGGACACGGCGAAGCTAGCCCGGCTCAAGTACGCCCTCAGCTCGCTTCTTCGCAAGGTCCACGTGTACGAATATCTGGAGGAAATCAGAGAATTCGACGAATTCGGTCTAACGGAATTGATGAACACTTACGTGTGCGCCCCGACGTTAATGGCGCAGCCTAAACGTCAGTTACCGGCTGGCGCGCAGATGGAATTTGAACGAGAACACGCTCGCAATCCTCGCGCGCATCTAATAGCTTATTTCGAGCACCATAAGCTAATCTATCGTCTTTTGCTGGCATTATCCTCTCCCAATTGCGACTTGAAAACAATCAAGTTAATTCGTCGTTTTTTCCTACATCTCTCCGATACGAAAGACGGCCTGTTCTATCTACTGAAGGAGACCGAAGTGATTCGATTGATGTTGAAAGCCTTAAAATACGAATTACCCGGAATTGGCTGCATTCTAGCGTGGCGTCTTCAGGTTGCACAGTGTCTGATTCGCCTGAAACAGACCTCCGATTGGACGATCCTGAAAAGATTGCATTCTTTTCTTGCCTTTCCTGATGGTTTGCGCGCTATTATCACAGTTCTACCTTTAGGCGATTTCATAGACATCCTTATCCCCTTTCTATCGGATTCTAATCTTTGCGAGTTTGCCGCCGAGATTATCTCCGCCGTTGTCCGTTATTCCGATAGAGTAGGAATCTTCCAGAATCGAGCGGAACTGATACTCGATAAAGCTCGCGAGCATGCAGTTCTTAGAGACGTGACATCATACTTGACAACTGCCGCCCAAACTTCTCACTGGGATTACAACGATGTTTCCTTGTTGGTGACAACTATCAGGAAAAGCGCGGAGAAGGCTGCATCACTTCCTGGCCAACTAATCACTGCTTGCAGGATTTTATATTATCTTATTTTTCCATTTAACAACGACATCGATCCTATGGAACCGTATATCGAGCTCAAGTACAGGAATGCTTTGACCCAGCTCTTCGCCGCCGATGGCCTTACCGCTCTGGTCGCCGTAATGACGAACGTGTCCGATTTCTACGAGCAACCATTCCTTCATCGCGCCGCCCTGACAGGTCGCAGAGGTATGGCCTTGATCGCCTTGTTGCTACCCTGTGTGAAACTGACCAGAGCGCTGCTCGAGAGACTTGTCAAATGCATGGCGACAGACTTCAAAGATCTCACGGCTGTTGTTCCGCTGCTCGGAGTTTATTGTTTAATCGAAGCCATTCCGTCTAACCCGATGATGCAGACTCTGTCCGAAGAGATAGTGGAAACTCTGCTAGTGTTCACCCAAGCCGTCGATTCCGACGGTTCCGGCAATGTGGCTAAATCACTGTGGACTCAGATGCTTGGTGAGGTCCTGAAAATGGTTTCCCTCCGCTCATGCAACTTTGTACCAGGTTTGAAGCTTTTGACTCGTCTGCTACCGCCTGTTTTAACGCCGAAGGAAACTGCTACTGAAGATGCGACGAGAATCTTAGGCTTGCGGAAACTCTGGTCGGCGCATCTTCAAGCTCAGGCCGCAAACCTCACCGAAACTCTACGATTACTATGCGCCAGTTGGAACAGAGATGTTTTGCTACTTTTGTCGACGGTTTGTAAGCAATTGAGCGATTTAGCAGCACCGACGGCTCTTCTAGTTGGAAGATGTCTGTTAGACGGTATTCTAGCAGCCACTCCCCTAGAGAACAATGTTCCTATCCTCGCTCTAATCAGCGACCTGGCCAGGCATGCGCCTATGAAGGCAACTCTACTGACTTTGACTAACCCCGCATCCAGGGCGCAAGTAAAATCTGACCAAAAGTATCCGCCGGTTATCGAGATGATGTGTACCATTCTGAAAAATAGCAGCGACGTGCACGTGCAATACGAGATTCTCGGCATCTTTGAAACTCTATGCGATTGCAGCCTCAGCCTGGTACAGGAAGACAGCGAGCCCTTCGAGAAGAAACTAAGGCATTCAGTACCCAGCAAGGAACCTCTCTTGTCTATCCTCGCGGCACTGATCGAAATCCTGGCGACCAGCACAAAGTTCCAACTGGATGTAATAGAAAATACATTGCACATTCTCTTATCTCTTAGCAGCCACAACTATGGCTTATATCATGTGAAGAGCTGCCTGGAAAATAATCCCGGCGCCTTGCGCGCGCTACTAGACCACGTGTCCACTTTGGAAAAGCCCGAAACGAATTCCGTTACGGACTTAACTGTGACTTTTCTGGAAAATTTGATTGCCTCCGACTCTGAACGGAGATCCTTGCATCTGCGTACGCAGCAACTGGTGTTATTGATTTCTTGGGAAAAGAACGACCATCCCTTGGAGAAGCTGAAGCGAGCGGAAGAGTTAGTAGAAACTTTGAAAGCTGCTGAAGAGAAAGAAGAGAAGGAACCTATCCCGGAGATGTTGGAGCCTTTATTGCCCACTCCGGAAGCTCTCTTAAACCAGTTCTCGCAAAGATATCTTGGTGCGATTAGTAATAGTCCATTTCGATCCAAGAAGTTCTTATTTGCGGTGGCTAATCACATACAAGCCGAGAATACGGTAGATCTATTAGCACTTGCTGCTGAATTACTACCTGCCGATTTTAATTTATTAGCAGAAGCACAAAATTTATGCTCCAAGACGCCTCCCGACGATGCCACTCAACCTCTACAGTCGAAACCGCAGGACGAAAATCAAGAAAATAGAACGGAAAAACAAGCTTCTCCAATGGTTAAATCGAAACAGCCGTTTGGTAAGATTATTAACGATCTATTAAATGTTCTTTGAATTTAATTTCTTTGTACTTTGTGAAAAAATATTGAAGGAACGAGATGAACAACTCAATTTTCGATTGAAAGAATATCGTTTGATTCTTCATATCAATTATAATCAATTATTACTAATAATTATAATTAATCATATCAATTACAAAGCGGTCTCGTTCGGCAATTTCATATTTTCTATTTTTTTTTTTTTTTTTTTTTTGGCGACCCCTCGAAAAGGGTTTTTAGTGGCTCCAATACGAGGTCGAACACAATTTACCAATTCACTACGGGGTGGCGGAGTGAGTGGAGGAGTAGGTAGAGGAGCTGATCCTTTCCGATCGAGGCCCCCCAACACTTCTAGACCACCGTCTCTTCATGTAGATGAGTTTGTAGCGTTAGAAACTTGTGGAGCTCAGCCGACGGGCCCTACCGGATATAATAAGCTCAGCATTCGCGGAACGTGCCCATCGCGTGCCATTAGTGGCGGTGGCAGAAGTCGACCTTGGACGCAAGAAACTCGTCCTCCTTACCTTCGCTGACTCATCAATTCTTTTCGTTTCACATATGTATATATTTACGAACATATCAATAACGATATAAATTTTTCCAACAAATTTGCGCGTTTTGCTGAAATAATACATTTAATTTCGCGACGAATTATTCTTGTCTTCTATCATCTTTTGCCATTTCAGATACTGCTGTTCAAATTTCTCAATGTTCTTCTCTAAACGTTTCAATTTTCGTAATCTATATTTTCCCTGCAAAAAATATTCTATGTATATATGTGTGTATAAAAAATTTTAAATATTATTTTTAACTTATTAAGCACACAAGAAAAGATATCGATTCTAATAATAGTTACGACAAATCCTTTTCAACATACTGTCGGTTTTTTGATATTCGATAATTCTTTCGAAAATTTCTCCACTTCTTCGACGGCTTGCGTGTTTGGTCTCATTTCATTCTTCATCATATAAATCATAACATATAACAGGTATTCAAAGTTTTTCTTATGGCAGGCTGTGTGGATGAGAGTACTCATGATTATAGTATTAGGTTTATAACCAAAAGCCTCCATTCCTTTCAAAAATTCTTCAGCCTCTCTACGTTCTTGACAACCGAGTGCCAGGACTCCGAAAGTCATCACATTTGGGGAAAGATTCCTCTTCTCTGCCATGCTTATCACTTCCTAAATTATTAAATTGCATCATGTGATACTCGAACGATAAGATAAAAATTTTGGATAGCTTACCTTTGCAGCTTTGTAATCAAATCGCATGCTGCGCCTTTTAATAAGCATATTGAAAAAATCGATATCCAACTCGATATTTCTTTCGTCTGCAGCTGCAATGAGTAGATTCTCAGCTTGCACTGAGTTCGGAATTAAATAGAGAAGCAACGTAATAGTTTTAATGTCGGGTTTGACTTTGCAGTAAGCCATTCTATTTAAGAATCCTTCCATACCACCAAATAAAATCAAACGATTATTGAATAACACATCATTCAAATTTGTCGATTCTATCTCTTTCTTTGAATTAACATCATCTTGTGTAACTTCTTGTCCTTTTTTCGTTAGTAATAGTGTACTCAAAACGGGTGGAGATGCCAACAAGTCTGGCCTCTCGCCTTCCTTCAATGTAATTCTACTCTTCTCCCATCCTGAGATAAGAATGTCGTCAAGCTTTAAATTCCCCAAATTGGTGTCCCTGATCGTTCTTAGCAAAAGATTATATGTAGTCAAAGTTGGATTAACCTTTTTTAGACGCATTAAATGCCATATAATCAAGCTGTGTCGCAAGCCAGCCTCCTTATCAGAAATCGCTCCATGGAGTAGCGAATTGTAAGTACTCTCTCTAATAGGAATATTATTGTCTCTCATCTCATCTGCTAATTTAAAAACTTCGACAATCTGATTGTGCCAACTGTATGCTTTTATCATAATATTGTAATGTGTTTCGTTCAGTGGAAACTTCTGTTCATAGAGCAATTGTCGTAACCTATTCAAATGTTCTAGAGCTATCTCATTCTTATCACATACAGCGCATGCATTGAACAAAGTGGTATAGGTTGCTGCATTTGGTTGCAAGCCCTGTTTCTTCGCCTTATTATATAGACGGAGACATTGTTTTATGTCGCCCTGTTTGGCGAAAGAACACAATAGAAGATTGTACAAATATATTGTAGGCTTGTCCCGATTTTCTTTTATCAGATCGAGCACTTTCAGAGCAGAATTCAGATCCTTCTTAGATAAATGTGACTTGATCATTTTAGCGTACCCTCCTGGACTAGGTTTCAGTCGACGTGGAATACGTGCTTCGGTATCCTGAAATTTCTCCTCTTCCTGCTCCCTTTCATCCATCTTGAAGTGTTCGAATTTCCTGCCCGATATGTCTCCGAAAATATCGGCAGTCTTCGGTAATTTTTGTGTACAGAAATTACTGATCGGAGACTGCCACCTGAGTTGCAGATGCTCATTTCTGGCTGTAATAAATATAAATTTAATTGTTTCTGTAATTATTACTGTGCTTAAACTTTTATTAGTTAATTGCTAATTGCTATTTTCAGAAAATAATTTATACATATATAAATAAGAAATAAT